TCATAACATTTAACATAAACGGTTATTTATAAGTAAAAAATAATATACAGTATATGATGGAACTGTACCTTATATAGTATGAATAGTTTGAAGTTTTAGTGCTGCATGTTAACTAGATACCTGCTAATTTAAATAACACCAGTTTTTATCACGACTAACCTAGTAATATTACATTAATGACAGTTGCTTCTGTTATCTTAAGTTGGCAGTTAAATTTTAATCACTGAATATTTGTAATCAATTATTAGTTTGGTGTAATTACAATCTTCGCTACAGAGTGATTGTAATATTCATTGATTAGAATTTAACTGCCAACTTAAGAGAACAGAAGCAGCTGTCATTAATTAATTAATTAGTTAATGTACCCAAAGAACTACCCAAATTAGATTAATATTAATTAGATTAGAATTAGATTAATACCCAAAGAAACGTTAAACATATAGGCCATATATATATTTGATTAATCATAGGGAAAATACTGTATTATTATTGTAACCTTCGTAGTTTTTGGGTGATACTTAATCCAAACATCATCTAACAATCTATTCAGTTAAAAACAGTTATAAGTCCAGTAACATTTTTTAATTGACCCTCAACTTACCTTATTGTTATACCTGTAAATGCTCTAAAACAACCTTTATGATGTGAAAAGAAAAATCAGGGAGGATGTAAATGACAGATTTCTTCAAGCTTTGTTCACTTCTCGCATTAAATAATGGTTGAGTAACAGCCCCATAGGAGTGAGCTCACAGTATATATTTATCTCCAAGCATTAATCTTGGTTTAGTTGTTCACTCCTGGTGGGCTCAAATTTCTTAGCTAGTTTTTGCAGAATTCACAAAGGGAAACACTGCATGGCTACAGTATTCAGGGAGACTAGTTGTTCGACGTTGAACTTTGGTCGTAAAGTTATGTACTGTGAATGAACGTTCATAGATGTTGTCTTATCCTGTAAGAGATAATATATGTTTTAATATTTTTTTCTGAACTTCATCCTTCTCTGGAATATGAATAATGAATTATTTCAAGAATTTTTTAAGAGCACTTTAAGGTGTTTTCACAGGGTTTTAATTGTACAAAAAATGTCTGTAGGTAACATAAACTAGCAACTTGATTGATTTTAACCTAATCCAACCGAAGTTAAAAACACTTAACGCAGTCATGATTTCGCATAAAGCATGACCTAAACATGGCATAGCAGCCCAGTGTAGTGAAGTGAAGTGACGTCATTAGGCCGATGACAGAATCAGATGCTAATAAAGTTGTCACTTCCAGTTGCTTGACGTATCAATGGTTGAAAACAATCTGCTGTACCCCTACTTCACCCACAGTTCATTCCACTCGTAAATGTCACCCGTCCTACCTTGTTTAATCAAACGTCGTATATTTGAATGGCGATATCTTCAGTAAAATTCATCTGTGTTGAAAAATAATTGTATATTTGGATCCAGGAGGTCAACAACTATAGAAAAAGATATCAAAGTAGTTCATTTCTCCCTAGAGAGTATTATAAAAATCTGTTTTAATTGTTATGTTTTATATAAAAGTAAAACTTGAGCTCGTGTTGATAACAGTTAATTCATGACTCCAGTTAAAAAATATACTGTTTTAAAAGAGATAACAAATTTTTACTTCTATTTTTAAATTTTTTTAAAAGTTGCTTTAGTTATTTTTAACACAGTCAAGAGGAATAAAATTTAATGCGTATAATGGATGGTCTCATAATCTTAGAAACATTTTCATATAATTATAATTAAAATTATGTTCAGTTATTTGATAAACTGTTTTAAATATATATTCGATCTAAATTTGACTTCAGCGACATTTTGAGGGGTCACAAACCATTATTGTTAATAAAATACGGTTTTGAGTCGTATGTGGGGTGGAATAATTGTATGACAGTTGTTGTCATTAGATAAATATTGGAAAATGTGAATACAAAAAAATAACCGGCTTTCCATTATAATCCAGATATTCGAACAGAATGGGACAAACATAAATTAATTTGGTTCTCGGACCGCCTCTCATATGTAGGATGATAATACAATAAATCTTAGATAAACACCCCGTAACGGATAACGAAGTTTGAAATTGATAATTGTATCCTTAGAAATTGAGAAATTATCTAAAAAAAATATAAATTATCAAGCTATCGGTCATTCTACAAAACAGGCTCTCCTGTTATCAAGATAGACGCATCCTTCTGACAGCTTATTACGGTCTTGTTTACCCCTTTCTTACATATTGTGTGCCCGTTTAGGGTAACGACAAACTTCAAACTAAGAAAATATTCAAACTGCAAAAAAGAGCCATCAGATTAATCTTCAACCTAAATATAGAGAGTCTTGTAGATCTGTCTTTCGTACAAATAATATGCTGACCTTTCCATCAATTTTCATTTTTGAATCTTTGACCTTCTTAAAAAAAAATCGACAGTGTTTCATATTAAAGGGTCATCTCACCACAGCTACAATCTCAGGAGGAACTTTAACCTACATATTCCACTATCTCGTACCACTTTCCATAAAAACCAATCATTCTCCATGTGTATCCGTCTTTTTAATTCTCTTCCTAATAGAATCAAGGGCGAACATGATTTAAAAATATTTAAGCGTGGTCTGAGGGAATATTTAGTTGATAAGGAATTTTACAGAGTTTCTTCGTTTTTAAATTGTAAATAGTTTGTACCTTTTGAAGTTTGTATCTTTATTTTAATGGGCCTGATTTTACTTGTTTAGTTTTAGTGACTTTTGCCCTGTACATTTATGTATTATTATGGCAATAAAACATTCTGATTCTGCTATATTTTCTGCTGATATAAAATATAGCTAAGCAAAATATCTTTGACTTAAAAAGATGACGAGTCTTTCTACATGTTGTCATTTTTTTTCTTATGAAAGAACGAATACATTTACCCGTTGAAAATAATACTATGATTTTGGAATGAGTCGTGGCAGAGTATATTTAAATAAAAATTACACTGAAGAATGTTAAGACTGCTGGTGGCTGTTTATGGTATTTCAATTTTGATATGTTACATAGAAGCGCAGAATTTTCAAGGAAAGGGTTACAAAAGTACAGGATCTATATCCTTAATGTTCTACACTATCTCCTTTGTTATCCTGGACATATCGCACTGATGCGGGTGGCCATCACTTTAGTCTTAAGTTCCGTGGAATCAGCCCTTGTTACATCTTTATCTAGGTTATACTCTTATTTGCGCTTTGTTAATATATTCACATTCCTTGAAATACTGTGCATTAGCCAATTGGGGTCTTAATTGGAGAAGGCCACCACTTTTTAAACAGTGGAATAACCACAGTTTATTTGAGGTTAGGTTAGTTAGCTTTACTCACGCGTTTTTTATTTACTGATCAGAAATAACCACAAAAACTAAAAACACCCAAACTAAATTGTTGGTTTTCAACATATGGAATAGTGGCGGCTCTCTTCTGAAAAATACCCGTCAGTTGGTGTACCACAAGATGTATGGAGTAAAAGGTAGATGTATGGAGTATCTTTTACTCCATACGTCTTGGGTGTACCATAGTAATCTAAGACACCATTGTAACCAATTTAAATGTTGAAGATTATACAGAATGTGCTATGATTTTCTATTTGTTAAACGTAAATTACAAATTTTTGTTGGGAAATTACAAAGGACATTTTAATGTTGAAAAGAGAGTTAATGTCATATTGACGTACCTGTGCACTACTATTATAATTTGTTTGATCACGATCAATATGTAACTAGTTGATGTAAGATCTGAGCTTAGTGTGATTACTAATTCAATAATGCGTTTCTTTAACAATAATAATATGGTTAGTTTTAAGCTTAAACCTTATTTATTCCTCAGTTATGAAAACGACATTTAAAATGTTTGTTAAATTTCCGTCAATTCACTAAAACTATAAAATCCGATTAAATTTTGAGTTTTTGCTGAGTTCTAAGCTAACCTAACTCAACACAGCCTAAAATATACCAATTCTAAACAGAATTTGTATATAATTTTAACATTTCAACCAGAAAAGAATATAGTAGCAGTGAATCAACGGAAATGGCCTGTCAATACATGTTAGACAGTTCAATTAGTATCAAAAGCTTACATTATAATGCTGTTGGGGACAAAACTATAATTATTATTACTTAATATTAACATGATAATTTATAGTTGGAAGTAGATTTTCAAAAACATATGTTGACCTTACTAAGCACCCGAGAAACATTAATAATGTTTACCAATAAAGAATTGTATATGAAGTTAATGTTCCTTTATGTTGGATAACAAGTCGCTTTAAAAACAGTAGTGTGCAAATTTACTGATTCCACCTTTATAATAGTTTACGCAACGATCGCATTAAGACAGTCTTTAAGACACAAGTAAAAAAATTGAAGGTATGAGTCTCAGCGAGTGCCTTTAAAATTTCTATGAATGTCTTAAAGGCTATTTACATGAGTTGCGTACACTTACTTTATACGACCGTTTTTAATTACTAACAATCCCTACCCATAACCAAGAGAGGTTATGTTTTCGTATATAACTTCTCATTGCCAATGACTGTGATGTATTGATTCATTGTCCCAACCAATCACCATTGTATAATCAATTAATTTGCCCAAACAGCTGATAAGTAGACATTCAAAGCATTACAACTTTACTTCTTTTCCCTCAAACCTCAAACCTTATTGGTCCAAACTTGTAATGCAAAGTAACAAAGCAATGCTGTTAAGTAAGTAAAAACACTGTAAAGTAAATCTTTCACATTCTAAGAACTGAATTGGAAAAGACCGTGGGTAAAATATTTTTTCCAGGATTATTATCATCAACTTTACGTACTTTATGATTACTCTTTTACTTAAATTCCTATGATTATGCATTATTGTAGTCTTTTTTTTACAATAGTTAGTTCAGTATTTCATTATTGCGCTGTGTGGTCGTGCTCAACACTAGCGAACAACACCTGTGCCACATGTTTAATAGCTCTAATGACGTCCAATAATCATTTACCAGCTTGTGACTGTAGCTAGTGGTTCTTTATGTATTACGGCGTAGTCTGTGCAACTATAATATAAGGAATTTCTCAAAGAATTTATCCGTGATGAGGGTGCGAGTCCTCTTGGTATGTTAAAATACAATATTTTTAATGATAAAAATCTTAGGGTAATGTTGAGTTTGAGCATTATTGTTCATATTCTTGCACAAAACATTAAAGTTTTTACATGGGTGTAAGTAGATGTTTAAGGGACGGAGCTATGTGAATAAGTAGTTTGTGAGCTACATAGAACTAACTGAAAAAAACTGTCTTAAAATTATTTTAGGGTTATTCACATTTTTTTATTACTCAAGTTTTAACTAATTATATTACAACGCTCTAATAAAACTAATAAATAATCAATATTTTTATAACGATCAGAGTACATCATTATTTTAAGGATATATAATTGAAGACTCAACTCGATATTACATACGAGCTGAAATAAAAAAATCAAATAATATGCTTACTTAGTGATTATATTTATATAATAGGTACAATTGAATGTAAATACGTAATAATAAGATTGAATATTCGAAAATTTATTTAACATATTTTTTCAGGTATTCATTGTTTCATTCACAATGGTACCAACAGGTAATTATAATTACACACTAATAAATTATACACTAATAATTAATAACAATAATACAAATTTTGGCTGTCCAAGTCTGCCACGCAAAGAGTAGATTTTCAATTGAAATTTTACTTCGTGGTGATATTCAAAACAACATTTAACAAACATTGTGATTTTCCTTGTAGTAACGAACCGAAATATTCATTGTGTCTATATGAATGATATTCTATACTGAATGGGTGCGTATCCCAATTAATAATACAAACATGTTTGAATCAAAACTTTAAAGTTTATTGAACTAAGTTTATTCAAGTTTATGTAACTAATATTCTTGTGACGCTATTATACAGTTTTTTCTGTGCAAAATAAAGATGATTTGATTTGATTTTATATTAATTGGGAATTCATTTAATCATCCGAATTTTGAGGTGACAGGATATTTTTAATCTCCTTTGCTGATATGATTGTGCGCTAAGGATTTGCGTGTATATATAGAGAGGGTTTTACAGAAAACCACCATTTATAAATTACCATTTCATCAGCAAATTTTGCGCTTAGGGAAAACATAATTTGAATTAATCTCGTGGCTTCTAACGTAGAGTTAAGCAATGTATTGCATTAGTAGTGCTGACAACATCTATCTTATTGGCGTAAGGCTGGTATCAACTTGGCTTATAGTTTAAAACATTAAGATTGACGTTTGATCAAACAAAATTAACAACCGAAGCAAATATTCGATTTGGATAGGCTGCTATTTAATCAAATGGATATGATTAGCCCATTTAACACACAAATGCCACGTACAAATATAAAAAAAAATTAAATAAAAAAACTGCAGAGCTAAAGATATCGCGTTCACTTGTGTTCGTGGGTGTGTAAATATAATGTTGCATTGAGTTTAAAGCTTTTAGTTTTAAGGCAACATTTAAGTAATATCATGGTTGAAATCATAAAAAAAAAAACAGATGAGACAAAACATTTTCCAAATTAGAATCTCTAACTAAGTTTATGTTTATAATCGACTGTAAATTCATTATTTAATTGCTGAACATATTCACCTATTTGTTGTGTTAGATACTTTAAGTTAATTCAAGTTTGATTTTACGTAATTTTCTTCATAATTTCCGTCAACAGTTTAGCTATGAAAATACCATTATATACTTGTTTCTACTAAACAAAGAAGTAATTTCATTTTGAACTTCTAGGGAAAGGAAATAGAGCATACACTCTTCCCAACCAAACAAAAAGATACAGATCTTTTACAATATCCGAAGTAGGTGACTGGAATGTTAATGGTAAATGCTACAGACATTTTAACGTCAAATTGCCTGAAGCTACAGATTTGATAAAGTATAAATGTCCAAGTACGAAATCTGAAACAAACGGGGGCGACTTTCTCATCATAGATCGGACCCTATACAGCGACAAGCGTAATGAAGTCATCGACACGTCAGGATGCGTTAGATATAAGATCACCACTGATCAAGCCCAGGAATATTCAATGAACGAGAAAGATTGTACACATATCAAAAACGCCATTGCAAAAGGAGTTTCTGTAAAGACTCTTGAAAAGATGGAAAAGCAAGAACAGTATTTGAATGTGGAACCAGAAGAACAGGATAGCAAGGTGGCACAGGAAGAAAGGGATAGGATTGCACAGGAGGAACGGGATAGGGAGATAGCGCAAGAACGGGCTAGGATTGCAGAAGCACAGGATAGAGAACGGGCTAGGATTGCACAGGAGGAACGGGATAGGGAGGCAGCGCAAGAACGGGATAGGATTGCACAGGAGAAACGGGATAGAGAGGCAGCGCTAGAACGGGCTAGGATTGCAAAGGAAGCACAGGATAGAGAGGCAGCCCAAGAACGGGATAGGATTGCACAGGAGAAACGGGAAAGAGAGGCAGCCCAAGAACGGTATAGGATTGAAAAGGAGAAACGGGATAGGGAGGCAGCGCAAGAACGGGACAGAATTGCACAGGAGAAACGGGATAGAGAGGCAGCCCAAGAACGGGATAGGATTGCACAGGAGAAACGGGATAGAAAGGCAGCAGAGGAATGGCTAAAACAAGAGAAGGAAAGACTTAATAAACAAGAAATTGATAAGCAAAAACTTAGGGGACCGGAAACGACTTTAGAGACATCTACTCTAGGGAAAAACTCAAGAGGAGTAAGCAATGATGATCCATTGCAAGAAAACAATGTCAAGGAAAAGAAAACGGAGAAACACTTTTTTCTAATCGAATGGTTCTTAATGATCTGGCAATCTTTGTTCGGTAAGCAGACAAACTAGAAAACATAGATTAAATAGTTGATAACTGAGATATAATATTTACTTTAAATACAACTTTTCACTCCCATCAGTACACATTACACTTCAATGATAACCAAACTCAAATCTTGTTTGTAATCTTTTTGCATCTAAATTGTTTGTTGTTAATGGCAATTGAATTTACTTTTAAAATGTATTGATGTAGTTAATTTTGTTTTTAATAAAATGAATTTGAAGTGTTATTGATGCACCACTGCCAAATGTTACAAACGTTTAACGTATGGTGTACTGCTTTCATACTAAACATAATATCCTATGGGATGATAAATAGTGAAAAACGTGACGGTACATTATGGTTCTATTGGGTGTTTTGCATTAAATGTATAGAAAAATCTGAGATATGTTTTGTTTCTCTTAACTGAAACCCCTAATCACCCCCCCCCCACACACATATATATATATAATATTAGTAAGATTACATATCAGTTTAGAAAGACACGTGTTGTAGTTATTAGACTAATGTATTTTAATTGTGTAGTTGTAATTTGTTAAGGCCTTTCACCAGATCTAGCAAAAAGTATCATCATAGTTAGCAAGGTTTGTAACTTAATATCACATATCTCTCTGTCACAAGATACAAAAAACCCTAGAGTTACACAGGGTTTACAACGAAACCCCTTCAATTTATATTATAAGTTGAATATACAATTGTATAGATTGAGCGATATTCTATCAATATTCATTAACATTGGTTGGACAAATTCAAAAATAAAATATTTACGTACAAAACAATTGTGCGAGTATTCGGTAAACAAAGCGTTTTGGGGAAAAATTGAATTTCTGATTTTCTTTTGATTTTAGCTTACATGACCATGTCGGAGCTTGGCTATTTACTAACGGGACACCCTGTGTATTTGTTATTTATATCACACGGAGACACACTTATAAATATAAAAGATATGTTATAAAAATTACAAAAATATCAACTGGTTAATCAGGCTAATTAGATAGGAAAATGTATTTAAAGTCCAAAGAACGAGGACAGCTAGGTCCAGTTATGGACTTTTAAATTTTCTAAGAATCAAACTGGCAAACTTCTCAAAGGCCATTTTATCATATTGATATAGTGCTTGCCTAGTTAGCAGTATATCAAAATGATGTGTTTCCCCATGTTAAAACATTCGCAAGACAACAAGCCACCACGCCCAGGCGCCCATTCGTGTCGGTGGCTCAGGTGGTAATGCTAATGGCATTAAGTTACGTCCATTCATCTTAGAAAATACAGTGATGGTATGGTAATACGATTTGGTAGGTAATTCTGTGGTTAAGCTGAATTTTTTAACGCTTGCAAGATTTTGAGTATCATAATACGAAAGTTATGAAAGTTACAATTTTTTTATTATTGAAAACATGTAGTTGTGTGAGCCGATCACCGAAAGCGTGTCTTAAATTTTATTTTCTACTTTATTTTTTGTTGCTGACAAATTTGATGGGTTATAACAGGTGCTATATCTCATTTTGGTTAAAACCATCGTGTATTCGACAGAAATTTTGTCATCTAGATCAGCGCAGTCTGTTGGTGGTTCACATCAAAATTTACAAACGACAAATTTAATAATAAAAAAACAGATGACAACTTTAACATGAGGATGGAATGTAAAGGTTCAGGCTTCTCTATTTTCACCCCACACGGTAAAAAAAACATGTGATTGGAATTTTTTCCATTTGTTTCGATTTTCAGTTTATATTTCGTCACCAGCATGGCGACCCATAAAGGCAATGTTAATTTTTTTAAATTTCAAAATTATTTTTTGTGCTTATATTTGAGCCTTTTTTAATTTTTAAAGGTATTCTGCACTTCTACAGGAAAATATCTTTCTCAAGGTATGTGTAGATTTTCCCAGCGATGCACACGAGCTGAGAAAAAATGTTTTAAAGAAACATGTTTGCCTATTAATATATAGATAGATAGATATAACAAATATACACAGTTTTACATGATGTCACGCTTAGATTTCTTCTTAAAATTTATTTTCACACAATCATTTATTTTTTATGGTTAAGAGGTTGCAATAATCAATAACTGGATGATCGAGAGAATATCTAAAACATATAAGACGATTTTGTATGATAACATTTGTCTACAAGGTGTCCCTGAACTCTCTGGAACCCTTTTGTATATTTATTCCTTCGGTCAAAACAATACAAAAACATCACATAAACATGGGTCTATGGCCCGGGTTTCTGTCTGTGTGTCTGTATGTGATGTTTACAAATGAATCCGCATTTTTTAAATTCCTTGTATTCGATGGACTTTAAACTTGTTACGTAAGTAGTAAAAGGAGGGTTGGTTGGTAAGAAGTAAAAAGTAAGTTCAACCGATGCACAAAGTATCAGATTTATAAATAGACCAACACAAAATAGCGACCATTAAAAATGTTCTATCTTAAAAATAAGTTACAATACAAAAGATATCAAGGATAAGCATTTTTAAGAAATTTCATGACTAGTCCATCAGTTGAAATACGATCAAGTTATAACAATTTTTGTCAGACAGTGTGTGAATATTATAATTTTGTTTATTGTTTTCCCATTTTTGCACCGTGCCACGTCGCGTTGGTGAGGTACATGTAACGAACAATACTACGTAGTACTATGAAGTTTGTTGGGTATATGAAGCAACGGACTGTACCATGCGCGGTTTCACATACAGTACATTAATATTATTTCTGTGACACTGAAAGACCAGGAAGTATATGTTTTCGGTAAATCAATTCACCGAAAACACTTACTTTCTAGTCTTACAGCGTTACAGTAATAGTATTATTATAGTACCATTATAGTGCCCTACTAAAACCTATGTATATAGCTACTTAGTGCGGTACTTTTGAAACATTATGGTTTAAAAAAATACAATACATTGTTCAAAGTGGATTTAAGAAATAAAACATGGTTTTTTTAAAAACATATATTAGTAAAACACATACAACATTTGTTCGGAAATACACTGTACACATTCTATATATTATCACACTACATTACGTTACATTATATTACAATATCGAGGCACTGTGTGTTAGTAACGCTATCTATTCTTAACACCGCTACGCTCTTATATAGTTTTAACAGCATAATTACATTAAACAGTTAAACATAGGATGATCTTATTACGGTTAATTTAACGTGAAATTAAGTTGACATGATTTGTATTTCTTAAATTATAAAAAGATTTATCATTTCAACCTGACAAACTCAGCTTTAAGTTACTGTCAATATATATTTGCTTTCTGCACTGCTAAAATACGTTTTTTAAACTACAAACAAATTCGTCTTATTCTCAATATTATTTACAAACTATAATTTAGTTACACAAAGGAATACCACAGAAAGACTGATTTTCTCCATTAGAACAGTAATAAAAAGGATTTTAAACATTTTAAAAATGAAAATCCAAAACAAATCTTGAAAAGGAATAAGTTTAATTTACAATTACGTTAATTTCCATTTGACAAGATATGCTACAGACGCTTCTATTAATTGGGTTCAGTCTAAGGTACATACAGATCTAATTCATATCGTAATTTGTTTGTGCAGTTGAAGTATTTCATCGTTTGAGCACCATCACTTTTGTTGTTCAAATTAGTTCTATCTACAATAATATACATGGTATTTTCATAGATTGTCAATGTTCGTCACTGATTTAAAATAAGCATTTAGCTCTTGGCTTCCTGAGCTAGAACATGTTGTTACTACAGTTACAAATGAAATTTTGTGCCTAAAGGAACGTGGATTGTAATATGAGGCTATTGAGTTGGTTTTATTGATCAGAATAATAATTAAATATGTGTAATTAAAATGTATAATTTCTTAGAGGTTTAATAAATCAAGATAGAACGCAGTACTCAAATTACACCAAATATTGTGTTTTTTGGTAAAATTATTAAAATTTGAATTGGTGACAAAGAGATACTATGGTACCAGTTTGGTAATTTTGTATGAGAAACCCCCGAAACTGTCCCAAGCCATTCAAAGGATTCTGTTTCTTGCAATGGGTTCTTAACCGTGATAGTCTTTGAAACATTTTTACTCTAAAATAAACAGGTAGTAATTTCTTATGCTACTACCCGATTACAAATTCAATAGGTACTGATGAATATTAAATATATATTTAAGAAACCTTAGATTTAAAAACAAGTTAAAAGATTCAATTCCCGTTTCAAGAACAATTACCTCTCATCAAGAGATTGGCAGCCATAAGGTAAGCCTATTTAAGGTATTCTCACAAACAAAATACGTAAAACTTAATAAGCAACTGATTTCTAAAATTTGTATTTGTGCTGAGAGTAACGGTTACTTTTAACGGTTTTGAGGAACTGCAACTGTTACTTTATTGTAACTGTAGTGACAACCTGTTCCGCTCTGGGTTGTGTTGTCACAGTCTCACATCTCACTTGTAGTCTGTTGACCGTGGCGTCACACCACGGTCTCCTGCTAGAAGCAGTAGCTCCTGGAACTGTCAGGGTAGACACCCTCGCTGTCCAGGGGCCCAGGGTACGGCTCCACTGGAGGCAAGGGTCAGCCGTAGTAGTACTGGTTGTTGCCGCTCCTGCTCAGGCTGCGGGGAGCGCTGGACTCGCTGCCGAATCTCACTACCTGAAATATTGAGAAATGGTTAAATTAGTTGGAACGCAATTAGTGTTTTAATTTCTCCCCTTGTACATGGAGAAAGTATTCTTTTCGTAAAAATTGTCGTCAGGATATTGATTACAATTTTGTTTAGCCCTTTCAACTCTAAACTAAACGGTATAAACTCAATTACTTTCGAAAATACAGTTTAAAATTTAAAGCAAATTCTTGAGATTTTACCTATTTTTTTTACTTACTAGTTACTCCCACCGTTTACCCCTCATAAGAGTTGTTGGCAAGCTAATGGGAGAAAGTATGTGTCTTTATTGATACTGTTTATTTTAATCCTAACTGTTTCTTAACCAAGTACTATTGATCCATGCTGTAATCTAAGGTTAGCGTAAGAGCGTATAGTGTGGTCACAAAGACAAACAATTAATTGGGTGACCTCAGGTATAAAATAGAGAAGGGTGCAGGTCTCAAACTAGCGTATCAGCTATCGCGGACAAAGACTTAATAAAAAAATTATCTAGATAAACAGTTGAGTGCATTCTGCAAACTTGTTTCTTACTGGGAGAGGCTTTTCTTTTACGAGACTACTAAAAACCTCAATTATTGATCAATTACATGTTTCTCAATAAATAAACGAGACTACTTAAAACAACACCCTCCCAGGTGCAAATCCACATCAATAGTTGTTGTTATTAACATTTATTTGAATCTTTCAAACAAGAAGATTCCTTGGTGCGTCAGAGACGGATCCAGTTCATATCCACAACACATGGGCTTGGACCGCTTCCCTAAAATAATATAAGCATAAAAGCATCGCTTCCTGTAACCGTTCAAGTGAAAACCGCTGAACATAAAAAGAAATGTACCAACGCTCTGCACACGTAGGCCTACCTCTCCAGGTGGTAGTGGACTGGACAGAATAGTGATGGTGGCGGGAGCGGTGGACGTCAGGTCTATGTCCGTGTCAACTTCGCTGAGATCATCAACGTAGCTGGGCAACGTAGTGGACTGAGGTATCTGCGGACGACGTCGTTGCCATAGCAACCTCGTGATGACCAGCACCAGCAGGGAGAGCAGACCAGCGCTGATGGACACTGACAGGTACAGCACCAGCTTCTCTCTGTTCTCTGGAACGTCATTTGTATCTTAGCTTCTAAAGAACTGGTAAGGTTAAGGGTTGTTTACGTTTATTACAACAGTATATAGCTTAGTGGAATAAGTTTAAATATGGGCGGTGGTAATATTTAAATCGGTTATTATATTTTAGGATGGTATAAGTGGTGTTAACACCACGAAGTATTTCACTATAGCTAACATAAATTTTGTTTAGGGGGCGGATAAGTTCGAGTAACAAAAGTCTAGTTTCCTCATCTCTTATCAAGTATGTTATATCCATGAATATCACCAGGTTTTATGTTTTTCAATAAAGAATACATTTCCCTAACTAATTCTATGCCTGAGGCTTTGTATACAAGGGTATTTAAGGGGACAAATACATTAATGTTTAGATAATATGAGACTACGGTACTTTTTATACATACTATTTAGGGTGGAAACCTCAATTTTATATGGTTGGTTCTAAATAATAACAAATATCTTAATTCATCTAGGCCTAAACATCCAAATAGGAACCCGTTTATAAAGGAATTGAAGGAAAGGAAGACGACTCTTCTGAGACTTTGATACATCCCGAAACTATTCATATTGTATTCAGGCTATTTAATAAAACACTGTCCCTGCAATATTACACACAAAACCAGCTATTCCTCTACTGTAAACACCACATCCAATCTTTACTTACTAGATAAGAAATCGTATGTATGAATCCATTCAGAAATGAAGCCAATCACTCGCGTTTTCTCGTTGGCGTATGGGGAGACGGTGGAGTTTGTAACTTGCTCTAGCTCCGAGCCCAGGGGGTCCCCGTCCCCCTGGAGGTCCGTGGGGGGACGGGGGGTCGCCAAAGGGGGGAAGGGGGACCGACCTAAGCATACCAACACAATGCGTTACCCATCACACAACTACAGTTGGTTATTTACACAAACAAGCCGACTTTGTTATTGTTCACAGCCGTTAGTTGATAAGTGCAATGGTGACAAAACAGTGTTTACTCTTTAATCCTTTTAGTTTTGAGTGAGAAAAGTGCTAAAAATTTAATAAAGGTTTGGTACTTTTAAAATATTTGGAATTATAACTTCAGGACATTTTGTAACTGCCCAGTCAAAATTTTGATACTTATTAATTTTGAGATTTAAATATTGAAATCATTTAATCAATCGAAATTATTACCGGAAAATTATATACACGGTGCTTGCTGTACTTCCGATGTACTGTAACTTTAAGCATAAGTTACTTATTCATAAAAAAAATTAGCACATATCCCTAACATTTTTAGATACAACATCAAACGCTGAAAACTCTTTATGAAAATTCATTGGTTCACACTTGACAACACCACAAAGGTTTCGCAGACCGGTGCGTCATTATTCATTGAAGTTGGAGAAAACTTGAACGCTTTTTACGAGTTTCTGTAAAGCATTGTGAGTGCTTAGCTAAGTTAGGTGCTTATAAGCGTGAAGAGAGAAGCTGTTGAGAGGGTGAGAGGGAGAGGAGAGCAAGCTACAAACCACACCACCACAAACTTATCACAATTGTGCTATATCTACATCAGTTAGTGAGGAATACAGGACTTTACATCACTATTTGCACATATTACTACACATAATTTCTACTTATGTCACATAAGAGTATACATCGAACAATGATAAATGCATATATATTTTTCAAAGTGTCCTTAGTAGTTTCTTTGGTGATTCAAAGTCCTTAATTTTCATGAAATCTAAATGTCAACTTCTTCTAAAGAATACTATTTGATTGTTCCACAGCTTTTCCGTTATGCATTTAACTTGTGTCATTGTCAAAATAATTTTGACATTGGTTAATTATTGAGATTGAAGTTTATTTTTTACACAGAATTAACACCTAATTATATGCATTCAATCTTCTGAGTAACAAACATAGCAAGCTTTCATCAGAAATGTTCAGCACGAGAAATCTATTATGAAAGGCGAGTAACAAAGTTACCAGTCCAATAGTTCTAGTTCCTGTTTGTTATTTGCTTTACCAGAACCTGACTTGTAGTTCTAAACTTCAACGTATCTATTTCAAACTGATACTTTGTTACTTTGACTGAGGTAAACTAAATTATTTCCGTGTGCCAGTGTTAATATTGGGTAAAAGATAATCATATTTTAGTTTTATAACATATTACAAAATATATTTTTTTGTCGAATAAGGCAAAATTGAAAGAATAACAATGGACATCAGTATCATATGGTCTACTACGTTAACGACTACTAGGCTAATTAAAAGTGATATTCCATTGAAAAATGCATCAAAGTTAAAATAAGTTATAAAGAGTCTAAATCAAAACCAAACCTTAGAATAAATGAATTGTAAGGTCGATACAATGAAAATTGTCAAGGCAATCATAAAAGTATAAAAGTATTATTGTAGGTCTGTGAAAGTTAATAAGAAATAACTTAGAACAACCTAATTGATTGTTTGGTTTAATTTGTCTACAAAAAAATTATAGGTATGCACGTTTTATCTTCTTATGCACATATTATACTAACCTTGTAGCAATTTCAGAATAAAAAAATCAACGTAGTTCGATTGATTTACCTAGACTGAGCTGACGTAAATTTTTTATTAATTTAGAATGAGAAATTGTTAAAACCATTAATAAAAATGAAAACTCTGGTTTTTTAAGCGCATTTTTCATCCCATCAAAAATGACAGAATACCACAACCAAAAGGAGAAATTGGTTTTTTTTTTAGAACACTCTATGAGTGGTTATGGTTCATTCAACAACTATGTTCTATCTGAATGTAGAATTGGCTACAGCCATGTACATGTTTACTCCAAAAAACAATCATAAAAATCAAAACTAAATATGCAAAATGTGTAAGACTTTTAATAGCTGAAACGGCAGACATGGTTCTAAATGTTTAAACATTTTAATTTTATCGGGAAAACGTGAAAACACTCCTATACTGATACATATTTTAAGAAACTACATTTTAATTAAATTTGCAAGACATTGTAGCTTTACACTCTAGTAAATAATATTATTAATCAATACATATACAATGAGTTCGAAATTGTATTTCCTAATGAAAACATGGATAAATAGGTCCTAAATATTTAATTGCATATTACCAGTAACTCCTTTCATAAAAATGTTCACCTATGTTGATAGATATTTAAATAAAAATTGTCACCTTAATAAAACATATTTTTAGAAATAAGGTTCAAATTAAATTCTTAAGACCTCGTTGATTTAGACTCTAACTATTTAACCCTTAGTTTAGCATGCTGCCCACCTCTAGGTGAGGGGTCTGACGTGTGGTACCTAGGTGGCGCCTCAGAGGGCGCCGCGGACACAGACGTGTTGGCGCCCCCGGGTCTGTCGGCGCCTCCTACAGGAGAAGCAGAATACACACTACTCTCCCTGAGTGCGTCATCCACCACGTCATACGCATCTATGTCTGTGTCCTGCGTGTCTAGAGTCTCGTCCTTCTCAGGCCTCTCTTCGTATTGCTCTCGCAGCACGGTGCGAGGAACTAGAACACAGGGTTGCGTAGTAAAGCTATTGTAACGACATTTACTAGGGAAGCGAGCTGGTCTAGTATAGCTCAGGGTTTCAAAGCCCGAGGTACTGGGTTCAAATTCCGCCAATCACCAAGGGGGGGGGGGGGGGTATTTATACATGTGATAGTGTCACGAACCTAAAGGACTAGCCTGAAGTAATGAGCAAAAAAAGTTAAAGTCCTAATGTGAAGATGGGACATAAACACAAATCGTAGTGACATTAGACAAACATTGTACAAAGTAAATAACAAGCTGAACAACTTAGTAATTTACATAACATTGTAGTAGCTACCTTTTTATTACATACAAATATTGTTTTTGAAACAATCATTTAACTTTACTAAAATATTGTGAATGGTCCACAAGGAGTTATAATTAAACCTTAAAGAAGAGCGTAGATAAGTAGTACATCAAATTGGCGGTCTCTTAAGGAGAGCACAGTGCTACAAACCTGACAAAAAATATTCGCAGCCTAAAAATTACAGTTTAAAAATCAACTTTTTTGTTTTCGTAGTTAAAAATTACATGAAATGGCAGCTTAGTAACCAGCAAACAAGTTCTTAATTATTGTAAACCGCTCCCGTTTTGGCTAGAATGGGCCTTTTGAAGTAGAGTTTGTGACTCTGCGATTTCCCAACATGTACATTTAATTAAATTAACAATTCAACCTATGATCTCTTTAAGACTTCCTTCCGACTCCTTGTGAACTGTCATAGTATAAAGTAAAAGATCTATTTGCTTGAAAATGGATATTTATGTAAAAGGTGCGCCAAAAAAACCTGACGGTTTCTGTTTTGTAATAAGTCAGCTGTTATACTAGCTAGAGACCTCATTGTTGTGGTGAACGATTGCTTATGTTATGCCATTTTTAGGTTAAGTTTGGTAAAACATCACGTCGTCAAAAGAAAGTTACTGTCTAGTGTGGTGCAGTGTGGTGTGGCACTATCTGTAGTCATCGGAACATATTTTTTTGAGGACGAAAGTGGGAACACCCCCCTGTCACTGTAAACTCGGAACGCTATTTGGAAATACTGAGGGGGTTTTTGGTTCCACAACTGCGGATGTTATGAGGGATAGACATGACTAACACGTGGTTTCAACAGGACGGCGCAACTTGTCATACAGCCAAAAATTCAATGTCAGTTTTGCGTGAACTCTTTCCCGGTAAAGTGATCTCTTGGTTTGGTGATGTGCTGTGGTCAGCTCGATCCCCATACTTAATTTTGTGTGACTGTTGGCTGTGGGGATACTTAAAAAGCAAAATGTTTGTTTCGAAATTTCAAGCCATCCCTGAACTCGAGCAGTGTATCAGGAAAGAGATTGCTTCTATTCATCAGGCGAAGGTGACTGCAAATATGAAAAAAAAAAAAAAAAAAAAAAATGGAAGCCTGTGTTTAGGAGAAGGTGATATAACCTGAGTGATATAATTTTTCATTAATGAAAATTGCTTAGTAGTGTGTACAATATAACGTTATTTAATACATGAAATTGTAGTTTGTTCTTGAGTTATTTAGTATTAAAACCCGTCAGGTTATTTTGGCGCACCCTTTACGTATGTGCTCATAATACTTATGATACTTATAATACTTATTTGCACAGTTTCGTTGCACTATCTGCACTGGTTAAAATATTATAATAATTTCCCACCCGATATTTTCGAGGACCATGTATACTCATAGCTCTACCTGGAACATAATGTTTACTGCTGTCTTTCTAGTATAAACTCAAATGGTTCAAAAGCTATTGGTGTTTGCCAAGATTTTTAACTCCAGTTTTTAGGACTGAAGCCTCGAACTTCAAATGCTAAGCTACGTCCCTTATTGAACGTTTAGGTTAATACAGTAATAAAACAGTAAAAAAAAACTTACTACAAAAACAATTGTACAACATTCAGAAATTAAATAATAAATACATATCTTGTTTACACAATTCTCAAAATATACAATTTGAGAAGAGGAAAAAAATAATTCTTGGTAAAATTGCCTGAAACAAAAATAAAACTGACACACAGTAAATAACTTTAGACCCAAGAAATACTCACAGAAGCACAAAAAGATCTAGTTATTTAATATAATTAAGATCAAAGTTTTCACTTGTTTTGTATTCAACTGACAATATAGTAGCTACAATGTCGATGTCAACAATAAAATGCAGACAGTAAATACATGTTCGACCACGCTTCAATTTGCATAATGTATTACAACAGCTGCAACATCAGGAATACAAGATATCCGTGGTATGAGTTTATTTACCTTGTGCTTGTGCATACATTAAGTCGACAACTATTCATTACCTTTGTATACTCTAGCTCAAGCTCATCTAATACATCTTCTCGTAGAGATTTATTACAGTTTCACAGACATATTACATTGAACCTGGTTAATTTTACGTTGCAGTGAAGTACTTAATTATGAAATTCATTTGCTATTAATGTGTTTGTGAAAATCGGATTGACACATTAATACGTTTGGAAATGTTGGATAATATTAATGATATGAAGCATGATGTTTAAAGGTTATTGTCCTACTACGAATGCAGTAGAATATTTTTTACAAAAAGTTAGTAAGTGATGCATTCTAAGAAAGTAAAATTTTGAAGATGGCAAGTTCATTTAAATAATAAATCATATATTACTATATAAATAGTGCACATTTTATTTAAATAGCTTTCAAAGTTTCCCTTTGTGCAATTGCTAATTATTGCACCTTTAGTTTGTATGGTGCATTTTTGCTAATGGTCAAATTAAATTAAATTACCCGGTATAACGTGATCCAACCCATTAATATTTGGCAAGATTTGAGTCCGTGACCTTTGGGAGCAAAACCAACGCTGTACTCCTTCTAACTCTCCCCCTGACTAAATCATTGAAAACATCTGTTTTATAACCCCTGATCTATTCACTCAGCTGCACACACAGATTTGAGAGAATAAAATCTACAAAATCGTCTTTGTTTGGATTTGAACACCTACCACAGGTGTACACGACCTTGAGGTACATGCGGGACTGGTGGTGACAGGGGTTGCCGAAGGTGGCGGAATCAGCTGACATTGAGCAGGACCTCTTGCCGTGACAAATCTGCATAGAGAAAATATATGCTGTTTTACCTTTTATTTTTTAATTACTTGTCTAATCATTTTTTGTCCCTAAGGCTGGTTTTATGCACCGCGACAGTCGCTACATTTGTTGCGGCTGGCCGATCGGTCACGCGCCAGCGACATTTTTTGTCGTGTAAACTTACATCCGGTGGTTGGGGAATTAAAGAACTCAGTCAGTTCTCAATCCAATGTTGTGTGTTGTGGTTGTGATGTAGGTGTGATTATTAAGTTGTTTAAATATCGATCATGTAGTGCTGTACACATTAATGACAAAACCCTAGTTATTTAAACAACACATACAATTTACAGCTGGAATTGGGTCAACCCTCTGAAAAATGTCATTACATAATAATATTATTTAATTTGTATTACAAATAAAGGGTAAAGCAATCATTTATGTATTAATTATTAACATTAATCAATATAAATATATGGAGAATATACCACGTGGAGTATGAAAAATACTACTGTCGTGCCGCGACTGTCGCGGTGCATAAACGTGCCTATTTGATCCAATAGAACTTGAACCACGCGCGACACATTTTTTGAAGTGCGATTCTAAAACCTGTCGCGGGTATTTAGAGATCTCCGAGTCGCTCACGCGGCAGTTTGTCGCTGTCGCGGTGCATAAATGCTCCCATTTAACTCAATAGAACTTGAGTCGCGCCGCGACACGCGACACGCGACTGTCGCGGTGCATAAAACCGGCCTAAAAGTGCTATAGTTTACTACTGACTTTAACCTTCTGTATCCAATAGTCAATGCTTTAACTTAAAGATGCAAGTGGAATGTGTAAATTTATAGTTGAAGGTTGAGTTTTTGACAGAATATGGTGATGCATTTCACTATTTCTTGGAATATTTATTGTAAATCATAGCATATGAATGATATAAATGATCAAACACTGTGGTAGATAATATAATTTTAAAATGAGTTTAGAAGTTAAGGCACGTTCATGCGCTGTTTCAAAAAAGGCTGCGTATGGTTTCCATAGATGATTCAATGTATAATATGACATTTTAAACTTCTGTAAACCTTGGTAAAAATGTTGGTTAAATTTACAACTGGTGGTGGATGTCCATTCCAGTTTACAGTCACAAATGATTTTTCATATATATCTGTATGAAATTTTAAACAATTAAACTCCTTAAACAAATACATTTTTGGGACATATTTGTTAAAATAATAACTTGAATGCAATGTTAGAGGGTTATGTGAGCTGGAATCTCTAGTTTAATTACTACAGCAAGCACACTCCACTACACCGTTCCCTTATTATGTGCAACCACCCTTGGAAAATTTGATTTAACTTTTATGTTGTTACAAGTTCGGTTGTAAATTGAAGTGATTGTACAATATTTGTTCTCCTTGTTGTAGATTGTAGATTATACGTTAGCTTAGTTTTCATGTTATTTAAGCAATTTTTCATACGGTGTTAATTACCTAAACGTTTACAGTTATTCATGTTTCGGTAATTTTTATTTGAATTGATTGTTGATGAAAAATTTAAATAACTAAACGAAAGTAACATTTATACTTAAAATGTACCTTGAGGAAATTTGTCATACCAACTAAAATCAACAATCGAATAGTCTTTGAACAATGCAACTAGACCTCTTAGTAGTTATGATAGGAGAGGATTTTATGGAGAATTAATATGAAATTGAAAATTTTTATTTATGTGTGAGTGTGATTGTATTTTTGATTGGAGGGGTATATGTGATTGAGGTAGTGTATGTGAGTTGAGGGTGGTTGTTGGTTATTGTAAGAGAAAGAGATAGTTAAAGGGGAAAATGGGAGGAAGAAGAGAGTATTAAAAGAGAGAGAGAGAGAGAGAGAGAGAGAGAGAGAGAGAGAGAGAGAGAGGGGGGGAGAGAGAGAGAGAGAGAGAGAGAGAGAGAGGGAGAGTGTGAGTGAGAGGGTGATTGTTCATGATGATGTCATTGTGGGGGTTCCTGTGAATGACTATATGTCTGTAAAGGTAAGTGAACGTATCATTTTACTTGATTCATCTATGATATTGTATGTGAGACTTTCTATTGAGTATGTCCCTGTACGATGAGTGAATGATGTATTTGGATTTGGTTCACAGGTATCCTCTTTGACTAACTTACTTTTTATGTCACAGTAAATGACAAAGGGTGCCTTCAACTGTTTGTGGTAATTTTTAAAGAACAGTTTAGTACCAGTCTTTGGTAGTGTGACAATTAGATCTGAGGGAGTTGTTGCACAGACGGTTTCATGATTCAGAAGATGGAGTTTCTTATGGAAATGTTTGAAACACTGTCTACAAATGTACAGTCTAGATGATGTTTTCACTAATAATTTATCCATGAATGCTTCAAAATTTCTTATCCACATGTAATGGTTACTGTACAATAGTATATCTCGATGATCATGTTTTCTTTGGGGTGTCACTTTAAGGGGAATTATTTTTTTTATTCTTACTGTCTAGTGTGTAGACGTTGATTGATATATTACTTGTGGTTTCAAATACTTGTATCTCGTCAAGTTTAACAGGAAAGGAAATGCACCATTTATAACGATTACTTATAGATACATATTTGAAGTAATTTAAAATGTTGTGGTAATCCTTTTTAGAATCTGCTAATAGTTTACCCATTATGGCTATTTTGAAGCATATGTTGTTACTAAAACATTTAGTTTTTATACTACTTGTACGAAAAGGGCTTACTAGAGATTTCTTACCATTTATGAAAGAGGGTAGTTTGATTCTTTTGTCAAAACTGTCTATATAAAATATGAGAAGTATCAATAGAATCTGACATTCAAATGAATGGTTGTAGTAACTGTAGGAATATTTATATATGGTTTTATTTCAAATTTGAGTATATAAAAATGGAAATTGTTGAAGTCAGTAATAATGAAACTAAATCTACAAATCCTGATTTAAAAAAATGAAAATATAATTTGGAACTTTTTTTAAAAACAAATAATAAGGTTAAAGTAGTCGTAAAACATAAAATATAATTTATGAAACAAATTAAAATAATTACTCCATTTATTATCATTTGAAAAGTTGTCAACCTTTGTTAGAAATAAATATAGAAAAACAAGAAACTATCAAATATTGATTTCATGAGTTAATACTTGGCAACGTGCCGTATTATGGTATGATACTTTCTCTTATACAGGGACGCTTGTTGGAAGTTGATATGTTTGGGAAGGTGTTTGAAGGAGATTTCTTACGATTTAGTGTATTTTAACTGATATATTGTTTGTTGTTCAAAAGAATGAAATAATAATTAAAACAAAATTATATTAGAGTCAAGATGAAATATACTGTTACTCACAAGACGGTAAATATACAAAAAAGATGGTATATTTACCGTCTTGTGAGTAACAGTATAAGCGTAAATATATGTTTTAAGTGTTATAAGACGTTTCTTTTATTTACTTTCCGTAAATTTAATAACACGTACAATGCTGATCAAGAAGTTATTTATATATATTTGAATAATAATAGGGAAAATACTGTATTTTTATTGTCACCTTAGTAGTTTTTGGGTGATACTTAATCCAAACATTAGCTAACAATCTATTTAGTCCAAAAAAGTTTTAAGTCCACTAATTTATTAAGATACAAACTAAAAAAAAAAAAATTATTGCCCCTTAATTTAAGAGAATATTTTTTACGATATTTGCAACCAGTATGATAGAAAACAAAGTAAATCTGTAAATGATCTAAAACAACCGTTATGATGTGAAAAGATAAACCAGGAAGGATTTAAAGAACGGATTTCTTCAAGCTTTGTTCACTTCTTGCGTTAAATAATGGTTGAATAACAGCCCCATAGGAGTAAGCTCACAGCATATTTATCTCTCAGCGTTAATCTTGATTCAGTTGTTCATCACCTGGTGGGTTCAAATTACTTGGCTTGTTTTTTCCAGAATTTGCAAAGGGAAACACTGCATGGCTACAGTATTCAGGGAGACTAGTTGTTCAACATTGAACTTTGGTCGTAAAGTTGTACTGTGAATGAACGTTCATAGATGTTGTCTTATCCTGTAAGTTTAATAAATATAAGTTTTAATTTTTTTTTTCTGAACTTCATCCTTCTCTGGAATATGAATAATGAATTATTTCAAGAATTTTTTAAGAGCACTTTAAGGTGTTTGCACAGGGTTTTAATTGTACAAAAAATGTCTGTAGGTAACATAAACTAGCAACTTGATTGATTTTAACCTAATCCAACCTAAGTTAAAAACACTTAACGCAGTCATGATCTATACTTATTTAATACGCAAGCAGGTTTTTTGTGACAATTACTCCTCCGAAACTACTGAACCGATTGACACGTCTTTGGTGTCATTGGAAAGAGCGTAACGTGAAGTTGTGCAGGAAACTTTCTTTTTAGGTAAATAATTTGAGAGTGAGGCCCTAGGGCCCTTTAAAGTTTCGTATTCCTCCATAAGATTAACATGGGAAACAAACATTGTTTTGAAACTCCAGCTGTTGTCAGAAATTAAATATTAAATTATTCGTTTCCATGGAAGCATGAGAAAATTCACAATGTTTACATTTGCTTTGACATTTTATTGTAAACAACCAGAACTGTCAAATTTCTACTTCACAAATTCCGACAGCTGATCCAAAAAAATGTATTTTCCTTTGACCATGTAAAACAACTATTTTTTAATCTTAAACTTTTGGATAGATTATTTATTATAAATCTATTTCAATGATTATGAAACAGATTTTTCCCGTTGCGAAGCAAAAATTAATAGTGAGAAGAAGAGCATATGTAAAACAGTCAATGTGTAAATTATCTATGTTGTATTAAAAATGTGTTTAGTTTTGGATGTTGGTTTGTGTTGAATGATATCGGTTATTAGTTATTGCATTTTTATCCTAAGGATTTGGCATATGAGTAAGCCTATGATAAATAACACCATTTCAGAGTTCTGCCAGTTTTTGCCTAACTCTATCCTGTAGAGTTTAAAGTAGCCTACACCTTATTGTCTACATATTGGCTAAACAACTTAGGTACGGTACTTTATAAAAGCTGACAGTCTTTTTACGTTAACTTAATGTAAGCTTACCTTTTCCCGTACATGGGAAGATTGATTGTTAAAAATTAACCCTTTAAACTGGAATAGGACTGTCATGTAAATAGTGAGTATTTCCTTTAGTTAATAATCTTATAGTTGACTCTTTTAAAATCATCAGAAATTATGACTGTTATTAGTTTTTAAACAAGTTATTTGTTTATAAATAACTCCTGTACTTCTTTGCAATTGCTCGATTTCGAGCAACATGTACACTAGTTTAGCATAAAGCTTGACCTAAACATGGCATAGCAGCCCAGTGTAGTGAAGTGAAGTAACGTCATTAGGCCTATTGCCGATGACAGAATCAGATGCTAATAAAGTTGTCACTTTCAGTTGCTTGACGTATCAAGGGTTGAAAACCATTCACTGTAGCCCTATTTCACCCACAGTTCATTCCATTTGTAAATGTCATCCGTCCTACCTTGTTTAGTCAAACGTTGTATATTTGAACGGCGATATCTTCAGTAATATTGATCTACAGTGTAAAATAATTGTATATTTGGATTTAGGAGGTCAACAACTATAAAGTAAGATATCAAAGTAGCTCATTTCTCCCTAGATATGTAAAAATCAGTTTTAATGGATGTGTTTTAAATGAAAAGTAAAACTTTAGCTCGTGTTGAAAACATTTACTTCATATGACTCTAGTTGTGAAATATACTCTTTTAAAGAAGATTGAAAAGTTTTACTTCTATTTTTTATATAATTTTTGAAAAGTTTTTTTAGTTATTGTTTAACACAGTCAAGAGGACTAACATTGAATGCTTACTATGGATGGTCTCAGAATCTTATTTTTTTATATAATTATGTTTGAAACTATGTTCAGTTAGTTGATAAACAGTTTTAAAAATATATTTAATCTAAATTTGACTTCAGTGACATTTTGAGGGGTCATACTCATTATTGTTGATAAAATACAGTTTTGAGTCGTATGTGTGAAGGAATAAGTTTATGACATATATTTTGGTAAAGTGTGGAAAGGAAAATAAAAATAAACAGTTTTCTATACCTAAACTCAATATTAGAATAGGATGTGACTTGGGCGCTCTGACCACCCCTGCTATGTAGGATAATATAAGACTATAAATGGTTAACTACTCTTAACGGTTGACAAAGTTCGAAAATAAAAATTTTATCTTCAGCAATTTACAAACATATTTGGAGATAATCGGTTTTCAAACATATTTGGAGATCAAGCTTTGGACCATTCTAAAAAAAAAAAAAAAAAAACAATAGGCTATATTTTTACTTTAAAATATGACGAGTTTTTCTACACCCTCGTAATTTTGTTTTCTTATGAAGAAACAAATACAGTTGAAAATAATACTATAATTTTGGAATGATTCGTGCAAGAGTATATTAAAATAACAATTACACTGAAGAATAATAAAATTGCCGATGGATTTTTGTGGTATTTCAATTTTGTTATGTTACGTAGAAGCGCTTTACGCTCATAATGGCCAGTAGACAGAATTTTCAAGGAATGGGTTACAAAAGGTACAGGATCTAAATCCTTAATGTTCTACATTATCTCCTTTGTTATCCTGGACATATCGCACTGATGCGGGTGGCCATCACTTTAGTCTTAAGTTCAGTGGAATCAGCCCTTGTTACATTTTTATCTAGGTTATACTCTAATTTGCGCATTGTTGATATATTCACATTCCTTGAAATACTGTGCTTTAGATTAGGCAGTTGGAGGCTTTTTCAGAAGAAGGCTGCCACTTTTTAAACTGTGGAATAACAACAGTTTAGGTTAGGTGAGTTTATAGCTTTACTAACACGTATTTTTTAATTTACTGAACGGATGAAAAATCACCTAACCTAAACTGTGGGTTTTTAACAGTGTAAATAGTGACGGCCCTCTTCTGGACAATGCCAGTTGGTGTACCATAGTAATCTAAGACACCAGTGTATGTAACAAAGCTACATTTTGCAAATTATATAGAAAGTGCTATGATTTTCTATTCGTTTAACGTATATTACAATGTGTTGGGAAATAGACAAGACATTTTAAAGTTTAAAAGAGATGTGATGTTATATTGACGTACCTATGCACTATAATAGTAATAATGTTTTACCACGATCAATATGTAGCTGTGCTAGTAGATGTAAGATCTGAGCTTAGTGTGATTACTAATTCAATAATGCGTTTCGTTAAAAATAATAATACGGTTAGTTTTAAGCTTAAACCTTATATCTTCCTCAGTTATGAAAACGTCATTTAATTTAAAATGTTTGTTAATTTTCCGTCGATTCAATAAAACTATAAAATTTGTATTTAACAATAAACGATTGAGTTTCGAGTTATGGCTGAGTTCTAAACTAACCTAACTCAACACAGCCTAAAATAAACTAATTCTAAACAGAATTTGTATACAGGGCTAGGCAAAAGTCAGGAACCCCCTAGTTAACTTTTTAACGCGTTGCAGAAAAAAAACCAAACTCGACACATATTTACAACAAAAGAAATTGCATTTTTTCATCAAAGTTACAACTTTGCCCCAGCCCCTAAAATGGGGTATTTTGGGGGCAGCCCCAAATTTTCAAATGTAAACACCTATCATGTGACCCTTAATTTTAAAGGGTTTATCAAGAGAAATTAAATAGCGCAAAAAAGAGGTCTTTATCGCACCCCTAATCAAAATGGCAGCCATTTTAATTTAAGATGAGCAAGCAAGATTAAGTCTGGACACCCCAAATTAACTTTATAACGTGTGGCAGTGGGAAAACCAAACTCGGCACATGTTTACAACATAAAAAAATGCATTTTTTCATTAAAGTTAGAACTTGTACCTGGTCTCCAAAATGGGGTATTTTTGGGGCAACCCCAAATATTCAAAAGTAAATACCTATCATGTGACCCCTCATTTTAAACAGTTTCCCTTTTAAATGAGGGGTCACATGATGATAGGTGTTTACATTTGAAAATTTGGAGCTGCCCCCAAAATAAACCATTTTGGCAAGCACTGGGGCAAATTTGTAACTTTGATGAAAAAGTGCAATTTCTTATGTTGTAAATATGTGCCGAGTTTGTTTTTCCTACTTCAACGCATTAAAATGGTTTCAGACTTTTGCCTAAACACGTATAGTTTTAAAATTTCAACCTGAAAAAACATAGTGGCAATGAATCAACGGAAATACTTAGTTCACACTCAGTTCATACTTAGTTCACTATTTTATATTATTGCGCTGTGTAGTCATACTCAATAGTAGTGAACAACACCTGTGCCACTTGTTTAATAGCTCTAATGACGTCAAAACACCATTTAACAACTTGTGGCTGTAGCTAGTGGTTCTTTATGTATTACGACTAAGTTTGTGCAACTATATTAGGAGTTTCTCAAAGAATTTGTCCTTGATGAGGGTGCGAGTCCTCTTGGTATGTCTAGAATACAATAATTTTAATGATACAAAATCATAGGGTAATGTTGAGTTGAAGTATTATTGTACATATTCTTGCGCAAAACATTTAAGTTTTACATGGGAAGTAAGTAGATTTTAAAGGGAAAGAAGCTATGGAAATGTGTGGCTTGTGAGCTACATAGAAACAACTGAACAAAAACTTTCTTCATGGTTTTTCACAATTATTTATAGCTCCAGTGTGTAACTAATTATATTACAACGCTCTACTCAAACGTTCTTCTTTCGCTGTGAGATCTTATACAAACAAAATAATCTAGATTAAAAAAGATTACAAACAAGATTTGAGTTTGGTTATCATTGAAGTGTAAAGCCCCTATACACGGGCGAGCATGTTCGTCACCAACACCATCACGAACATGCTCGCCCGTGTATGGGGGGCCTAATGTGTACTCGGGTTCTTCCTGATCTTACTTTTATGCGTAAAAAATAATCAATGCACTTACTTGCATTTTTATAAAATTAACTGTTTATCTTCTTTTTTCATATTGATAGGAAAAGTCACAAATATACACAAAACAGGGTTTTAAGTCAAATACCTTCAGTGAAATAAATTATAGTTGTAGGCAAGAGTCAATAAAAATGCTTACTTTGATAACTTTAGTACTGCAATATTAATTGATGCTTTCCAAATATATCACAATATAGTACAGAACCTTTGGTCGAAATTAAAAAGACAACCATTTTGTAAATAAAAACCAACTTATTCTTAGTCACATCCTGTGGAGATAAGCGTATGGCCCCCATCGCTGAGCGTAGGGCTAAAGTCCCGAGATTCCTAGAAAGCGGCGGTTAAGGCAAACTGCTCTCAAAGCAGGGTAGGTTAAAACAAACGGTAATATTTTACAAACAAGGTTGCATAGCCCGATTATCGGTTAATGCGAGGTCGGTTAAGAGGGGGTCTACTGGTAATTTCATGAGAATTTGATATATAAAATACTATTTTAAATAAAAAAATTCAATTAAGATGCAAACTACGTATTTACATTTATACATATAATAAAATTAAATGTACATAAATACTAATGAGACAGAATATTCGATAATTTATTTAAAATAATTTTCAGGTATTCATTGTTTCATTCACAATGGTTCATTCACAACCATCAGGTAAATATAATTATACACTAATAAATTAAATACTAATAATTAATAACAATTATAAAGATTTGACTGTCCAAGTCTGCCACGCAAAGAGTAGTTGCATGCTATTTCAATTGAATAGTAATTTTACTTTGTAGTGAGTTTTAAAACAACATTTAACAAAAATTGTCGTTTTCATTGTAGTGACAAACCGAAATATTCATTGTGTCTATATATTAATTATATTCAATTCTGAATCTGGGTGCGTTTCCTGGCACTTTCCTCTTAAGGGGAACATTCATTATTATCGATGATTTCTTTTAGATATATCGATATTTTTGTTTTCTATTTACGATGCATATTACATCTTATTTAATATCTTCAAACGCATTTAAATTACAGACAGACAGACAGACATCTTATTTAATATCTTTAAACGCATTTAAATTACAGACAGACAGACAGACATAGCAAATACAGAGTTAGGCAAAAGTCTGAAACCTCCCAGTTACATTTTTAACGCGTTGAAGTAGGAAAACCAAACTCGGCACATATTTACAACATAAGAAATTGCACTTTTTCATCAAAGTTACAACTTTGCCCCAGCCCCCAAAATGGTGTATTTTGGGGACAGTCCCAAATTTTCAAAAGTAAACACCTATCATGTGACCCCTCATTTTAAAGGAATTCTCAAGACAAACTAAATGGCGCAAACTAGAGGTCAATATCGCACCCCTAATCAAAGTGGCAATAATTTTGAAATATCCCCTTTTAACTGTTTACAGGTTATAGCAGGAAAACTAAACTCAGCATACCTTTATAAAAAAAGAGAATTCACCTTTTAGTAAGTATTAAAATATTAAATTTTTAAAGATAACTGGGGGTGTCCAGACTTTATATTGCTTGCCCATTTTTAATAATTAAAATAGCTGCCATTTTGATTAGGGGTGCGATATTTACCTCTGTTTTGGGCCATTCAATTTCCCTTGATAAAGCCTTTAAAATAAGGGGTCACATGATAGGTATTTACATTTGAAAATTTGGGGCTGCCCCCAAAATACCCCATTTTGGGGGTTAGGGCAGAGTTGTAACTTAGATGAAAAAGTGCAATTTCTTATGTTGTAAATATGTGCTGAATTTGGTTTTCCTACTGCAACGCGTTAAAAAGTTAACTGGGGGGGTCTTAGACTTTTGCCTAACCCTATATGTCTAAGTTATACTTCGTATAATAAATGAGTTATTGAGTTATAGCTCGTATTAGACAATAGGATTCAGAATGAATCTGGTTTAGGCAAAAATAATAGCCTTTGTATTGGATTAAGAAATGAAACTACCCTAAACTAACCTAAAATAACTAACTAAACTTGCTGTAGGCTAATTTACCGTTTCAAAATTCCGTTTGATAACAGAAAAGGCATATGGGGAATAGGCTATCAAACGAAATTTTGAAATGTTACAGCAAGTTTGGTTAGTTAGGTTGGTTTAGAACAGTTTAATTTCAATATAATATTTTTTTATTGTTTGTTGATACCCTGAACAATATTTATTTATTGTAGTTGTCAGCTGATAAGTTCCAATTTGTTAATATCAATATCAAAAGAAATCATCGATAACAATGAATGTTCCTTGAACAGGAAAGTACCCGTTTCCCTATTAATAATACGAAAATGTTGGAATCAAAATTTTAAAAGTTCAATTGGGAATTCATTTAATCGAATTGTGAGGTGACAGAATATTTTCAACCTCCATTTCTGATATGATTGTGTGCTACGGATTTGCGTGTTCGTAATAGACAGGTTTTCACATAAAACCGCCATCTATATATTACCGTTTCATCACCTAATTTAGCGCTTAGGGAAAATATAATTTGTAACAATCTCGCGGGTTTCTAACGTAGAGTTAAGCAATGTAATAGTATTAGTAGTGCTGACAACATCTATCTTTTTAGCTTTAGTGCAAGGCTGCTATCAACTTAGCTTTTAGTTTAAAACGTTAAATTGACGTTTGACCAATCAAATGACAACCGAAGCTAATATCCTATTTGGATAGGCTATTTTTCAATCAAATGGATATGATTACCACATTTAACAAACAAATGCCACGTACAAATCGCTCTCAACACAAGAACAAATCGCTAAGAAAAATAAAAAATAATAAAAAATAAAAATAAACTGCAGAGCTCAAGATATAGCATTTACTTGTGTACATGGGTGTGTAAATAAAATGTAATGATGTTGCATTGAGTTTCAAGCTTTTTGTTATAAGGCAACATTTACGTAATATCATCGTTGAAATCATTATAAAAATAAAAAAAAAACAGATGAGACAAAACATTTTCCAAATTAGAATCTCTAACAAAATTTATGATTATAATCCACTGTATTCATTTTTTCATTGCTAAACATATTCAGTTATTTATCATGCTATTTGTCGTGTTAGATACTTTCAGTTAATTTAAGTTTGATGTTACGTAATTTTCTTTATAATTTCTGTTAACAGTTTAGCTATAAATATACCATTAAATACTTGTTTCTACTAAACAAAGAAGTAATTTCATATGATCTTCTAGGAAATGAAATTAGACAATACACTCTTCCCAACCATTCAAAGGAAATATCTTTTACAATATCCCAAACAGGTGACAAGTATATTTATGGGGATTGCTACAGATATTTTAAAATCCAATTGAGTCAAGGTAGATATACGATCGCCTATAAATGTCCAAGTACGACATCTGAAACAAAGGGGGGCGATTTTCTTATCATAGATGGGACCCTATACAGCGACAAGCGTAATGAAGTCATCGACACGTCAGAAGACCAATGCGTCAAATATACGATCACCACTTATCATATGAGCGATTCACAAATGGACAAGAAAGAGTGTACACATATCAAAAACGCCATTGCAAAAGGAGTTTCTGTAAAGACTCTTAAAGAGATGGAAAAGCAAGAACATTATTTGGATGTGGAACAAGAAGAACAGGATAGCAAGGTGGCACAGGTAGAAAGGGATAGGGAGATAGCGCCAGAACACTTTTTTCTTAACGAATGGTTCTTAATGATCTGGCAATCTTTGTTTGGTAAGAAGACAAATTAGAAAACATAGATTAAATAATGATAACTGAGATATAATATTTACTTTAAATACAACTTTTCACTCCCGAGTACACATTAAGCATGTTCGCGAGCATGCTCGTGACGGTGTTGGTGACGAACATGATCGCCCGTGTATGGGGGGCTTTACACTTCAATGATAACCAAACTCAAATCTTGTTTGTAATCATTTTAAATCTAGATTATTTTGTTGTTAATGGCAATTTAATTTACTTTTAAAATGTATTGATGTAGTTAATTTTGTATTGAATATTAATTTTGTATTGAATATTAATTTTTGTATTGTTATTTTTGAACCGTAAACCACACCACTGCTAAATGTTACAAAATTGTTCGTATTGTGTGCTGCTTTCATACCATACATAAAATCCTTGGGTTGATAAATAGTGAAAAACGTGACGGTATATTATGGTTCTATTGTTGTTTTGCATTCAATGTATAGTAAATATCTGACATAAGTTTTGTTTAATTTAACTGAACTCCCTAATCATATATATATATATATATACAGACTGTCCCAAAAGTCCCGGACCGGTTTAATATTTTCTAAACGACAACAGATAAATCAACAAGATTTGGTACATCAACATCACACATAAAAATCTACTTTTTTATGTAAATATAAATTTTCTGTCACATCATGGGGACGTCCCGCAAGGAGTCAGAAGGAAATCTTAAATAGAAGCATAGGTTGACATGTACATCAGATTAAAGGTCTTTACTAGCAGAATATAATGCTGCAAATTTAAACTCAAACGGACAACCAAGTCAAGAGTAACAGTGGTTCAAAGATTCATTTAATTTGCATTTGGGGGCAGAGCCCTAGGAGTCAGAACATTTTTGTTAGCGTAAGCATAGGTCGATATGCACATCAAATTAAAGGTCTTTACTAGTAGATTACAATGCCGTAAATTCAAGCTCAAAAGAACGCCTGAGTAAAAAATGGCAGTCGTTCAAAGATTCAAAATGGCAGGTTCAAGAAATCTTTGAACGGCCGCCATTTTGTAACGGGTGATCCTTTCGAGGCGCGGTTTCCGGCATTGAACTCTGCTAGCTAAGCCCTTTAAACTGATGTGCATATTGACCTATGCTCCTATTTAAGATTTCCTTCTGACTCCTCGTGGGACGTCCCCATGATATGACAGAAAACTGATAGTTCCTTAAAAAAGTAGATTTTTTAGTGTGGTGTTAATGTGCAAAATTTTATTGATTTATCTGTTGTCGTTTAGGAAATATTAAACCGGTCCGGGACTTTTGGGACAGTCTGTATATATATAATAAATAATAAATAATAAATATCATTTTAGAAAGATCATGTTGTAGTTACTAGACGAATGTCTTTTATTTGTGTAGTTGAAATTTATTAAGGCCTTTCACCAGACCATACAAAATGTTTCACCATAGTTAGCAAGATTTGTAACTTAATACCATAAATCTCTCTGTCACAAAATACAAAAACCCCTAGATTAACACAGAGCTTAAAACGGAAACCCTTCAATTCGTATAAGGTTAAGGTTGGTTGGACTAATTCAAAAAATAGTTACGTACAAATTATTTGCGCGAGTATTCGGTAAACAACACGCTTTGGGAAAAAATAAAATATTATCTGATTTTCTTTAGATTTTAGCTTATACAACCATGTATCGGAGCTTATAGGCCAGAGTGCTTTGCTTAACTAGCAGCCCTCTCGTATCGCCTCTGGTGGCGGGATAGAGAACTACAGGCGTTCTCTCCACAAAGATGACATCATGTCCAGCGTTCCCCGCACCCCTCGTGTTTTTTACTACGGATTTATGGTAAAGGCAGTAAAGATATTACCCCCCCCCCCCCTATTAAATTTTGCATCGTCTTATGACCGATGCTGTAAGTCCCCCATTAAAATGCAATGAGATAAATCAGGTCCCATAACTCTTCCTTCTCCCCTCAAATTGGTTCAATATGAGTGTTTGGGAGAGGTAAAGTAGTTTGAGAGAATTTTTAAACGATTCAGGAGATAAAATTTGGGCTGTAAACAGGAATATGGTTTGTGTAATATTAAAACCCAACCAATAGTTTTATTGTGTGTCTAGTATTGAGTTGCGTTACAAATGTGGGCCGTATACAGGAAAATAGTTTGTGCAATATTAAAACCCAACCAATAGTTTTATTGTGTGTCTAGTATTGAGTTGCGTTAAAAATGTGGACCGTATACAGGAAAATAGTTTGTGCAATATTAAAACCCAACCAATAGTTTTATTGTGTGTCTAGTATTGAGTTGCGTTACAAATGTGGGCCGTATACAGGAAAATAGTTTGTCCAATATTAAAACCCAGCCAATAGTTTTATTGTGTGCATAGTATTGAGTTGCGTTACAAACTGTGGGCCGTATACAGGAAAATAGTTTGTGCAATATTAAAACCCAGCCAATAGTTTTATTGTGTGTCTAGTATTGAGTTGCGTTACAAATGTGGGCCGTATACAGGAAAATAGTTTGTGCAATATTAAAACCCAACCAATAGTTTTATTATGTGTCTAGTATTGAGTTGCGTTACAGATGTGGGCCGTATACAGGAAAATAGTTTGTGCAATATTAAAACCCAACCAATAGTTTTATTGTGTGTCTAGTCTTGAGTTGCGTTACGCTTTTAATGCTGTTTATATTTCATTACTTAATATTTGAAAATTATGCTATTTAAAATAGTGGAGGAGTGAAATGATTGCAAAATGATAACGATTAAAATGATTAACGAGTGAAGTAATTGCTTGTAAGAAAGATGTATACAGCCTCAGTAAAAATATTTTAAAGATTTCCGAATTCTTCCTCACGCCGACAATCAGAGTGCGTGTTGTAAGAGAAAGATGAGTTACAATTAGTTTTATTTTATTCACACACGTTTGGAGTAAACCCAAGGAAGATTGTTTATGTGTGTGTGTAATTGTGTATAAATTATGACAAGTCCTGTATTAACGAATTACGATGACTGTTGATTGAATGAGATGAAATCTTTGTTACTGACTAAGATCAACTGGTTAATCAGGCTACCAAAGAACAGGAACAGCTAGGTCCAGTTATGGACTTTTAAATTTTCTCAGAATCAAACTGGCAAACTTCTCAAAGGGCATTTTATCATATTGATATAGTGCTTGCCTAGTTAGCAGTATATCAAAATGATGTGTTTCCCCATGTTAAAACATTCGTAAGACAACAAGCCACCACGCCCAAGCGCCCATTCGTGACAGTGGCTCAGGTGATAATGCTAATGGCATTAAGTTACGTCAATTCATCTTAGAAAATACAGTGATGGTATGGTAATACGATTTGGTAGGTAATTCTGTGGTTAAGCTGAATTTTCCAACGCATGCAAGGTTTTGAGTATCAATAAGTGAGTTAAATTAAAGTACTAACTGATTAATGTATGGAATCGCCATGGTAAATTGAAAGCCTAAAGAGTAATTTGACTTGCATGATAACATAAAGTATATTGCTTATTTAAATAAAATATAACAAATATACACTGTTTTGCATGATGATACGATTAGATTTCTTCTTAAAATTAATTTTCACTTAATCAGTCCTATTTATGATGGTTAGGAGGTTATAATAATCAATAACTGGATTATTAAGAAAATAGCTAAAACATATAAGACGATTTTGTATGATAACATTTGTCTACAAGGTGTCCCTGAACTCTCTGGAACCCTTTTGTATATTTATTCCTTCGGTCAAAACAATACAAAAACATCACATAAACATGGGTCTATGGCCTGGGTTTCTGTCTGTGTGTCTGTATGTGATGTTTACAAATGAATCCGCATTTTTTAAATTCCTTGTATTCGATGGACTTTAAACTTGTTACGTAAGTAGTAAAAGGAGGGTTGGTTGGTAAGAAGTAAAAAGTAAGTTCAACCGATGCACAAAGTATCAGATTTATAAATAGACCAACCCAAAATAGCGACCATTAAAAATGTTCTATCTTAAAAATAAGTTACAATACAAAAGATATCAAGGATAAGCATTTTTAAGAAATTTCATGACTAGTCCATCAGTTGAAATACGATCAAGTTATAACAATTTTTGTCAGACAGTGTGTGAATATTATAATTTTTTTTATTGTTTTCCCATTTTTGCACCGTGCCACGTCGCGTTGGTGAGGTACATGTAACGAACAATACTACGTAGTACTATAAAGTTTGTTGGGTATATGACGCAACAGACTGTACCATGCGCGGTTTCACATACAGTACATTAATATTATTTCTGTGACACTGAAAGACCAGGAAGTATATGTTTTCGGTAAATCAATTCAACGAAAACACTTACTTTCTAGTCTTACAGCGTTACAGTAATAGTATTAATATAGTACCATTATAGTACCCTACTAAAACCTATGTATATAGCTACTTAGTGCGGTACTTTTAAAAAAACATTATGGTTTTTAAAAATACAATACATTGTTCAAAGTGGATTTAAGAAATAAAACATGGTTTTTTTAAAAACATATATTAGTAAAACACATACAACATTTGTTCGGAAATACACTGTACACATTCTATATATTATCACACTACATTACGTTACATTATATTACAATATCGAGGCACTGTGTGTTAGTAACGCTATCTATTCTTAACACCGCTACGCTCTTATATAGTTTTAACAGCATAATTACATTAAACAATTAAACATAGGATGATCTTATTTCGGTTAATTTAACGTGAAATTAAGTTTACATGATTTGTATCCCTTAAATGAATGAAAAAATCATTTTACTTAAAAAAAAAGAATCAGCTTTGACTTACTGTCAATATTTTCTTTCTGCAGTGCTAAAATAATTCTTTCAAACTACAGACAAATTTATCTTTGACTCAATATTATATGTAAATAATAAAGGAGTTACACAAAGGAATACCAAAGAAAGACTGATTTTCTCCATTAGAACTCTAACAAAAAGGAATTTAAACTTTTTGTAAACGAAAATTCAAAACAAATCTTGAAAAGTAATATGTTTAATTTACAATTACGTTAATTTCCATTTGACAAGATATGCAACCGACGCGACGCTTCTACTAATTGGGTTCAGTCTAAGGTACATACAAATCTAATTCATGTCGTAATTTGTTTGTGCAGTTGAAGTATTTCATCGTTTGAGCACCATCACTTTTGTTGTTCAAATTTGCTTTGTTAACCTCAAAGTTCTATCTACAATAATATACATGGTATTTTCATAGATTGTCAATGTTCGTCACTGATTTAAAATAAGCATTTAGCTCTTGGCTTCCTGAGCTAGAACATGTTGTACCTACAGTTACAAACGAAATTAATCACCTAAAGGAACGCGGATTGTAACAAAAGGTTATTGAGTTGGTTTTATTGATCAGAACAATAATTGATTAGGTGTACCTAATTAAAATGTATAATTTCTTAGAGTTTTAATCAATCAAGATAGATCGCAGTACTCAAATTACACCAAATTTCTTAAATATTGTGTTTTTGGCAAAATTACTGAAATTTGAATTGGACACAAAGAGACACCATAGTTTGGTAATTTTGTATGAGGAACCACCGAAAATGTCCCAAGCCATTCAAAGAATTCTGTATCTTGCAATGTGTTTTTAACCGTGATAGTCTTTGAAACATTTTTACTCTCAAATAAACAGGTAGTAATTTCTTATGCTACTACCCGATTACAAATTCAATAGGTACTGATGAATATAAAATGTATATTTAAGAAACCTTAGATTTAAAAACAAGTTAAAAGATTCAATTCCCGTTTCAAGAACAATTACCTCTCATCAAGAGATTGGCAGCCATAAGGTAAGCCTATTTAAGGTATTCTCACAAACAAAATACGTAAAACTTAATAAGCAACTGATTTCTAAAATTTGTATTTGTGCTGAGAGTAACGGTTACTTTTAACGGTTTTGAGGAACTGCAACTGTTACTTTATTGTAACTGTAGTGACAACCTGTTCCGCTCTGGTTTGTTTTGTCACAGTCTCACATCTCACTTGTAGTCTGTTGACCGTGGCGTCACACCACGGTCTCCTGCTAGAAGCAGTAGCTCCTGGAACTGTCAGGGTAGACACCCTCGCTGTCCAGGGGCCCAGGGTACGGCTCCACCGGAGGCAAGGGTCAGCCGTAGTAGTACTGGTTGTTGCCGCTCCTGCTCAGGCTGCGGGGAGCGCTGGACTCGCTGCCGAATCTTACCACCTGAAACATTGAGAAATGGTTAAATTAGTTGGAACGCAATTAGTGTTTTAATTTCTCCCCTTGTACATGGAGAAAGCATTCTTTTCGTAATAATTAACGTCAGGATTTTGATTACAATTTTGTTAAGCCCTTTCAACTATAAACTAAACTGTATAAACTCAATTACTGTAAAAAACACAGATTAAAATTTAAAGCAAATTCTTGAGATTTTACCTATTCTTTTTACTTACTAGTTACTCCCACAGTTTACCCCTCATAAGGGTCGTTGACAAGCTAATCGGAGAAAGTATGTGTCAGATTATTGATACTGTTTATTTTAATCCTTACTGTTCGTCACCAAATACTTTTGATCCGTGCTGTAATATAAATATAGCGTAAGAGTGTATAGTGTGGCCACAAAGACAATCAATAAATTGGGTGACCTCAGTTATAAAATAGAGAAGTAAGCAAGTCTCAAACTAGCGTATCAGCGATCGCAGACTTACAAAGGCTTAATGAAAAATATTCTAGATAAACACTTATGTGCATTCTGCAAACTTGTTTCTTACTGGGAGATGCTTTTCTTTTACGAGACATCTATAAACGTCAATTCTTGATTAATTTGGCATATTTCTCAATAAATAAATGAGACTACTTAAAAAAACACCCTCCAAGGTGCAAATTCACATCAATAGTTGTTGTTATTAACATTTATTTGAATCTTTCAAACAAGAAGATTCCTTGGTGCGTCAGAGACGGGTCCAGTTCATATCCACAACACATGGGCTTGGACCGCTTCCCCAAAAGAAAATAAGCATAAAAGCATCGCTTCCTGTAACCGTTCAAGTGAAAACAGCTGAACATAAAACAGAAATGCTCCAATATTTTCCACACTTACCTCCCCTGGTGGTAGTGGACTGGACAGAATAGTGATGGTGGCGGGAGCAGTGGATGTCAGGTCTATGTCCGTGTCAACTTCGCTGAGATCATCGACGTAGCTGGGCAACGTAGTGGACTGAGGTATCTGCGGACGACGTCGTTGCCATAGCAACCTCGTGATGACCAGCACCAGCAGAGAGAGCAGACCAGCGCTGATGGACACTGACAGATACAGCACCAGCTTCTCTCTATTTTCTGAAACGTCATTTCTATCTTAGCTTCTAAAGAACCGGTTAGGTTAAGTTTTGTTCACGTTTATAACAACAGAGTGTAGCCTAATGGAATACGTTTGAATATGGGCTTTGGTACTATTTAAAAGTGTTATTATATTGTTGGATGGTTTAAGTGGTTTTAACACCACGGGATATTCCACAATACCTTACATAAATTTTGTTTAGAGGATGGATAAGTTCGAGTAACAAAAGTCTAGTTTCCTCATGACTTACCAAGTATGTTATATCCATGAATATCACCAGGTTTTATGTTTTTCAAGAAAGAATACATTTCCCTAACTAATTCTATGCCTGAGGCTTTGTGTAAAAGGGTATTTAAGGGGACAAATACATTAATGTATAGCTAATATGAGACTACGGTACTTTTTATAGAGGGTATTCGAGGTTAATACATACTATTTAGGGTGAAAACCTTAATTACATATGGTTGGCTCTAAGTAATAACAAATATTTCAATTAATCTAGGGCTAACCATCCAAATGGGAACCCATTTGTAAAGGAATTGAAGGGAAGGAAAACGACTCTTCCGAGACTTTGATACATCCCGAAACTATTCACATTGTTATCAGGCTATTAAATAAAACACTGTCCCTACAATATTACACACAAAACCAGCTATTCCTCTACTGTAAACACCACATCCAATCTTTACTTACTAGATAAGAAATCGTATGTATGAATCCATTCAGAAATGAAGCCAATCACTCGCGTTTTCTCGTTGGCGTATGGGGAGACGGTGGAGTTTGTAACTTGCTCTAGCTCCGAGCCCAGGGGGTCCCCGTCCCCCTGGAGATCCGTGGGGGGACGGGGGGTCGCCAAGGGGGGGAAGGGGGACCGACCTAAGCATACCAACACAATGCGTTACCCATCACACAACTACAGTTGGTTATTTACACAAACAAGCCGACTTTGTTATTGTTCACAGCCGTTAGTTGATGAGTGCAATGGTGACAAAACAGTGTTTACTCTTCAATCCTTTTAGTTTTGAGTGAGAAAAGTGATACAAATTGAATAAAGGTTTGGTACTTTTATAATATTTTGAATGTTTACTTCGGGACGTTTTGTAATTGACCAGTCAAAATTTCGAAAGGTAATAATTTTGAGGTTTAAATACTGAAAGCATTTAATCAATCATAATCATTGCCGGGAAATTATATACACGGTGCTTGCTGTACTTCCGATGTACTGTAACTTTAAGCATAAGCTACATATTCATAAAAAAAAATTGTAACATATATCCTTACATTTTTTGATACAACATCAAACGCTGAAAACTCTTTATGAAAATTCATTGGTTCACACTTGACAACACCACAAAGGTTTCGCAGACCGGCGCGTCATTATTCATTGAAGTTGGAGAAAACTTGAACGCTTTTTACGAGTTTCTGTAAAGCATTGTGAGTGCTTAGCTAAGTTAGGTGCTTATAAGCGTGAAGAGAGAAGCTGTTGAGAGGGTGAGAGGGAGAGGAGAGCAAGCTACAAACCACACCACCACAAACTTATCACAATTGTGCTATATCTACATCAGTTAGTGAGAAATACAGGACTTTACATCACTATTTGCACATATTACTACACATAATTTCTACTTATGTCATATAAGAGTATACATCGAACAATGATAAATGCATATATACATTTTTCAAAGTGTCCTTAGTTGTTTCTTTGGTGATTCAAAGTCCTTAATTTTCATGAAATCTAAATGTCAACTCTTCTAAAGAATACTATTTGATTGGTTCACATCTTACACCTATTGCTTTTACGCATTTAACTAGTGTCATTGTGAACAAATCTTTGACATTGGTTAATTGAGATTGAAGTTTCTTTTTTTACACAGAATTCAAACCTAATTATATGCATTCCATCTCCTGAGTGGCAAACAGAGCAAGCTTTTCATCAGAAATGTTCAGCAAGAGAACTCTATTATGAAAGGCGAGTAACAAAGTTACCAGTCCAATAGTTCTAGTTCCTGTTTGTTATTTGCTTTACCAGAACCTGACTTGTGGTTCTAAACTTCAACGTATCTATTTGAAACTGATACTTTGTTACTTTGACTGAGGTAAACTAAATTATTTCCATGTGCCAGTTTTAATATTTGGTAGAAGATAATCATATTTTAGTTTTATAACCTATTACAAAATATTTTTTTAGTCGAATAAGGCAAAATTGAAAGAAAAACAATATACATCAGTATCATCTGGTTAAACGTAATACTACTAGGTTAATTTAAAGTGATATTCCATTGAAAACTTCCATGAAAAATGCATCAGAGTTAAAGATAAGTTATAAGGAGTTTAAATCAAAACCAAACCTTTTTTAAGGTTGATACAATGCAAATTGCCAAGGCTATAAATGATTAATATAGGTCTGTAAAAGTGTATAAGAAATAACTTAGAACAATCTAATTGATTGTTTGGTTTAATTTGTCTGCAAAAAATTACTGAAAAAATAACAGGTATGCACTTTTTATCTTCTTATGCACATATTATACTAACCTTGTAGCAATTTTAGAAAAAAAATCAACGTAGTTCGATTGAGTTACCTAGACTGAGCTGACGTAATTTTTTTATTCATTTAGAATGAGAAATTGTTGAAACAATTTATAAAAATGAAAACTCTGGTTTTTATAAGCACATTTTTCATCCCATCAAAAATGACAGAATACCACAACCAAAAGGAGAAATTGGGTTTTTTATTGTAGAACACTCTATGAGTGGTTGTGGTTCATTCAATAACTATGTTCTATCTGAATGTAGAATTGGCTACAGCCATGTACATGTTTACTCCAAAAAACAATCACAGAAATAAAAACTAAATATGCACAATGTGTAAGACTTTTAATAGCTGAAACGGCAGACATGGTTCTAAATGTTTAAATATTTTAATTTTATAGGGAAAAACGTGAAAGCACTCCTATACTGATACATATTTTAAGAAGCTACATTTTAATTAAATTTGCAAGACATTGTAGCTTCACACTCTAGTAAATAATAGAATGAATTAGTACAAATACAATGAGTTCAACATTGAATTTACTAATGAAAACATGGATAAATAGGTCCTAAATATGTAATTGCATACCAGTAACTCCTTTAAAAAAGATTGTCACCTATATTGATACACATCTTTTACACATATTTTTTAGAAACAAGGCTCAAATTAAATTCTTAAGACCTCGTCGATTTAGACTCCTACTATTTAACACTTAGTTTAGCATGCTGCCTACCTCTAGGTGAGGGGTCTGACGTGTGGTACCTAGGTGGCGCCTCAGAGGGCGCCGCGGACACAGACGTGTTGGCGCCCCCGGGTCTGTCGGCGCCCCCTACAGGGGAAGCAGAGTAGACACTACTCTCCCTGAGTGCGTCATCCACCACGTCATACGCATCTATGTCTGTGTCCTGCGTGTCTAGAGTCTCGTCCTTCTCAGGCCTCTCTTCGTATTGCTCTCGCAGCACGGTACGAGGAACTAGAACACAGGGTGTAGTAAAGCTATTGTAACGACATTTACTAGGGAAGCGAGCTGGTCTAGTATGGCTCGAGGCTTCAAAGCCGGAGGTGTCGGGTTCAAATTCCACCAATCACCAAGGGATTTATACATTGACATGTGATAGTGCCACGAACCTAAAACACAAGCCTGAAGTAATGAGCAAAAATGGTTTCAGGTTTGTGGATGTGACATAACCACAAATCGTAGTGACATTACACAAACATTGTGAAAAGTAAAGAACAAGATGAACAACTTAGTAATTTACATAAAATTGTACAACCTTTTTATTACATATAAATATTGTTTTTGAAACAAACATTTAAGTTTACTAAAATATTGTAAACCTTGTACACAAGGAGTAATAATGAAACCTTTAAGAGCGTAGGTAAGTAGTACATGAAATTGGCGGCCTCTTAAGGAGAACACAGTGCTACAACCCTGACAAAAAAATCATCGCAGCTAAAACGGCGGTAGTTAAAAATCACATGAAATGGCAGCTTAGTAACCAGCAAACAAGTTCTTAATTATTGTAAACCGCTGCCGTTTTGGCTGGAATGGGCCTTTTGAAGTAGAGTTTGTGACACTGCGATTTCCCATCATATACATTTAATTAAATGAACAATTCAACCTATGATCTCTTTAAGACTTCCTTCCGACACCTTGTGTCACCGTATAAAGTAAAAGATCTATTTGCTTGAAAAAGGATATTTTTTTATTTATACTCATAATACTTAAGATACTTATTTGCACAGTTTCGTTACACTATCTGCAATAGTTCAAAGGTGTAATCATTTTCTTCCGAAATTTTTTGAGGACCATGTATACTCATAGCTCTACTTGGAACATAATGTTTACTCCTGTCCACCAAGTATAAACTCAAATGGTTAAAAAGCTATTGGTGTTTGGCAAGAATTTCACTCCAGTTTTTAGGACAGAAACTTCCAACTACTAAGCTACGTTCCTTATTGAAAGTTTAGGTTAATACAGTAACTGACAAAAATACTTAATACAAAAACAATTGTAAGAAATTCAGAAATTAAATGATAAATACATATTGTTTACACAAGAGGTCCAAAATATAATTCTTGGTAACATTGCCTGAAACAAAAATAAAACTGACACACTGTAAATAACTTTGGACCCAAGAAATACTCACAGAAGCACAAAAAGATCTGGTTATTTAATATATTTAAGATCAAAGTTTTCACTTGTTTTGGATTCAACTTGCAATAGAGTAGCTACAATGTCGATATCAACAATAAAATGCAGACAGTGAATACATGTTCGACCACGCTTCAATTTGCATAATGTATTACAACCACTACAACATCAGGAATACAAGATATCCGTGGTATGAGGGTATTTACCTTGTGCTTGTGCATACATTAACTCGACAACTATTCATTACCTTTGTATGTTCTAGCTCAAGCTCATCTAATACATCTTCTCGTAGAGATTTATTGCAGTTTCACGGACATTTTACATTGAACCTGGTTAATTTTACGTTGCAGTGAAGTACTTAATTTTGAAATTCATTTGCTGTTAATGTAATAGTTTTATAATAGACTCATGTTTTAATAATCATTTTATAATTTTATAATTTTTATATTTTTTTATAATTTTTTTATATAATTTTTATAATTTTATCATTTTATAATAGATGAATGTTAATATTAGTGTAATAGTTTTTTTTGAGAGTCAATCAGTGCAATTATCAAGCTACTATTAATTCACCTTTTGAAACAGGTAAAAGAATCTTTAACTCTCTTTCTCAAAATATTAAGTTGTTAGATGATAAGAAATGTAAAACACGTTTAAAAAGTTTATTGTTAGATATTTGTATATAGGCCTATGATGTGAATGAGTTTGAAGAATATTTGTCTTAACCTAATCTATATTTCAACTTATAGGTCTAGTCAATAGAATGTTAAATAGAAGTCTTGGATGTATACTATGCCTAATGTTAATTATTATTATACTGTATTCTTCCCGGACGATGTCATGCATGTAACATGCTTTAAAGGCAATAAAAGTTTGTCATTTGTCATTTGTCATTTGTGTTTGTGAAAATCGGATTGACACATTAATACGTTTGGAAATGTTGGATAATATTAATGATATGAAGCATGGTGTTTTAAGGTTATTGTCCTACTAAGAATAGAGTAGAATATTTATATAAAAAGTTACTAAATATAAGAAAGTAAGTAAGTTGAAGATTGTAAGTTACTTAACATGATAACTCATATATTACTTAAAAAAATAGGTAACATTTTATTCAAATAGCTTTCAAAGTTTCCTTTTGTGCAATTGCAAACTGTTGCACCTTTAGTTTGTATGGTGCATTTTTGCTAATGGTCAAATTAAATTAAATTACCCGGTATAACGTGATCTAATCCATTAATATTTGGCAGGATTTGAAACAGTGACCTTTGAGACCATAACTGACGCTGCACTCCTATACCAGCTTACACTCCTTAAACTAAACAACTAAAATATCTGTTTTACAACCCGGGACTTGCTCAGCTGCACGGACAGATTAATTGTTGCTAAAAATCTACAAAATTATCTTTGTTTGGATTTGAACACCTACCACAGGTGTACACGACCTTGAGGTACATGCGTGACTGGTGGTGGCAGGGGTTGCCGAAGGTGGCGGAATCAGCTGACAAGGAACAGGACCTCTTGCCGTGACAAATCTGCATGACAGTCTCCGTCGCGTAGCTCACCAGGCAAGCTGTTGACAAAAGTAGATCATCCATATATAAAGCCCAAAGTACCCATGAACTTTTGAGAACATCACAAGTCACAACCCCATAAACAATATACTTAAAATGTTCGTCATGACGAAAAACCTTGCACAAAACTATCCATTATTTCATCAATTGCCCTTTAAGGTCGTAATTGCTTTCCAAAGGGAACTTTCCATATACCTGATGTTAAAATACCTCAGATATGCTTATTTGTATGTTATTCTTTCAATTTATTACATTATAAAAATCAGGTGTGATCTTTTGTTTGTATTACTGTATTCTGTTTTGTTTATTTCAGCTTAACTTAACCAATCAATAGTTTTATTAATACTTATGAAGTCAAATGGGGTGAAGCCCGTGGGTAACAGCTAGTTAGTATGATGTAGACTCTGTAGTTTATCAAAAGTAGGAGAAACTCACTCAAAAACCCAAGTTACACTCAAGTACTGAAGATTTATACTAACATCCCATCTATGGAGTAACTGAAGCCGATTTTACGTTCAAATACTGTATACAAGTTTAATGAGCCATTTATATAGGCTAGGGGTAGAAAAGATATGCTGTTTTACCTTTTATTTTTCAATTAATTGTCCAATAATTTTATGTCCCAAAAAGAAACTATAGTTTACTACTGACTTTAACTTACATGGACATAAAATGTATAAATTTATAGTTGAAGGTTGAATCTTTGACAGAATATGGTGATGCATTTCATTGTTACTTGGAAGATTTATTGTAAAGCATATCATATGAATGATATGAATGATCAAAAACTGTGTTAGATAATATAATTTTAAAGTTAGTTAAGAAGTTAAGGCATGTTCATGTGTTTTTAAGTTCTATTAATCTTGGTAAAAATGTTGGTAAAATTCACAACTGATGGTGGATGTTCATTCAAATTTACAGTCAAAAATGATTTTTCATAAATATCTGTTTGAAATTTTAAGCAGTTACACTCCGTAAACAAATAAACTTTTGGGTCATATTTGGTAAAATAATAACTTAAGTGCAATGTTGGAAGGTTATGTGAGCTGGAATCTCTTGTTTAATTACTACTGCAAGCACACTCCACTACACAGTTCCCTTATTATGTGCAACCACCCTTGGAAAATTTGATTTAACTTTGATGTTGTTTCAAGTTCGGTTGTAAATTTAGGTGATTGCACAGTATTCGTTCTCCTTGTTGTAGATTATATGTTAGCTTAGTTTTGATGTTTTTTTAAGACATTGCTCATACAGTGTTAATTATTCAAACGTTTACCGCTATTCCTGTTTCGGTAATTTTTATTTGAATTGTTTATAGATAACAGCATGTAATAACAAAAGGCAAGTAACATACCTAAAATTACCTTGAAGAAATTGGCCAAACCAACAAAAATCAACAATCGAATCGTCTTTGAACAATTCAACTAGACCTCTTACCCCAACTAAGTTCATGTTTTTATCTGTGTTCCTTGGTGATGATGTTTCAATGCTATTATAACGGTTTAATGTCTTTCTGATATTTTAGAATTAAATTCACGATTGATATTTAATTACTTCGCAATGATAACATATGACTGATATTTAATAATTAAATTAGCCATACGGTATATGGGTTTACTAAATTATACATGGATAGTTTTGTTTTGTCAATAAAATGCCATTTCAATTAGTTAAATAACAAGAAACTAGTAGTCACGGACAGTGCGTTCCTTAAAATGTCTTCAGTTGATCCATAAAGAGTATGTTTACAAAATTTAGGCAAACATTTACTAAAACTTTATAATTCTCTTCTTAGAATCAGACTACAAAAAAGAGTGCGAGTTCACTGACTTGTTTCTAATTGTATTTATAGCTTATACTGGAAGTAAAAGCTTACAAATTACATCATACTCACTCTCCTCTCTGACGCCCTGCGGCTGCGGACATGCGAAGCTCTCGTACTCCGTGCGGCCGAAGCTCGCTGAGTAGACGGCAAGTCTTGTGTTGGGGTTGCAGGTGAGCTGGAGCACCTCGTTCTCACAAGCAACTCTGCTACGAAACTCGTCTGGAGTAACAGACTCGGTATTATCACAGGAAGGAGTCAGAACTTTGTTTCTCTGTGTTGTTAATCTTTGGAAAAATCTTCACCCGAAGTAGACAGTGATTATAGTGTTCCATAGAAATCAATAGGATATTAATGTATTCTTTAGACATTGAAAATAAATCAATATGAAGCTTTACCAACCCTAGAATGAGCTCAATGCATGCCAAGGGCATAGTGAATATTATTACATTAAAGCATTAAAGGCAAATGGATCCATGATAAAAGGGAGCTATATGAGCCACTTGTGTTCTATGAAAACTGTGATCTCTTTGAGCAAAAACTCGTTATACATGAACACCTCGTTCACATACGTAGTTGATGCTGTCACTAATTCCTTTTATTCCTTTGTGTTTATTACTATAGACAATGATGCAAACCAACCAAACACTTAGATTGGCACTTCATACACTCAGATATCCAACTAACAATATGCATCATATGGGTTTTGCAGTCAATAAATTTTAAACAACTACAAATAAACGTAAAATATAAAACAAAATAAAGGGATTGATAGGAAATGCCATTAAACTGTACACAAATTGCGTAAATTGCATCCGTTCCTTTGTTCAGCTATATTGGAAATTTACACCAATTATTTATTGAATTCCTAAATAATGAGCAAACTTACTTGGTCTACACTTGTAGGCAATCTCGACATATTTCCTGGTGCCAGGGCACGGGTCACCGCCAAATGTCTTAGGAGAGGTTTGGAACTTGCATTGTCGCTTCTTCTGACAAGCTTCAACTACCGTCTGCAACAAAGAGTACTAAACCCCGTCAATCAGGTTGTCTGTAATACCTACTGCTGGTTACAATACATACCAACTAGTTTATTATTAAAGTTAATTATTTTGAATCGTATTACATAGTTTTGGAGTTATGCTTGGATATGAAGAACGAACATCCCAAACAAAACAATTTTTTTTTTATTTGTCAACGTTCAGCCAAAATTGTATAAACCTATCCATTAGAATAAAAAAATAAAGTGTTTCTTTTTTCAACCGGCCTCTACTGTATGTGACCTTGAATTCAATCAAAACACATACGAAATGGAAACAGGATAAAAAATGGTGGATGGAAGGTATAAAACCTCGCTAACTTATCCCCCAAATTGCGCTTGAGTTCCAAATAAGCATCTAGAATATTTTTTTCAGATCTACATATATCAAACATCTTATCTTACTTTATTGTTTTAAAAACGGTTTAAATAGCCATAAATAGTGAGGGTTTGAACTGACCTGTAGCGCGTTTGGCCAAAGGCAAGTAGTGTTGACAACATCGTTGTGTGGATTGGCTGGATCTGGACACAGAGCGGCCAGTGCATCAGCAGACTTGCCATACTGGGCGACCTGGACACTGATGCTGGTACTGTCCGGACACTTCAGCACGACCACTTGGTCGTCACAGGCTGCTCTCTGGAACGTCCTCAGCGTGCCAGACAACAGTGCTGCAACATACAACATATGGTCATCAGACTTGCCATACTGAGCGACCTGGACGCTGATGCTGGTACTATCTGGACACTTCAGCACGACCACTTGGTCATCACAGGCTGCTCTCTGGAACGTCCTCAGCGTGCCAGACAACAGTGCTGCAACATACAACATATGGTCATCAGACTTGCCATACTGAGCGACCTGGACGCTGATGCTGGTACTATCTGGACACTTCAGCACGACCACTTGGTCATCACAGGCTGCTCTCTGGAAGGTCCTCAGAGTGCTAGACAACAGGGCTGCAACATACAGTTATCGGATTTGCATACTGGGAACATGTATACTGACGCTGGTACAGTCCGGACACTTCAGCACAGGCTGCTCTCTGGAACATCCTCAGCGTGCCAGACAACAGGGCTGCAACATTCAACATATAGTCAGCAGACTTTCCATACTGGGTGACCTGGTCACTTGCGTTGACTGTAAATCCTTAAAACGGTATTACACTATATTGACTATGTGGAAGGAAATGCATGATCGAATTGAATTATGCAAATTATGGATCTTTAAGCTAATATAATAAAATAACTTATCGTTCTTATCTCTATTATTATACAGGTATATCAGTATGACACAATAATTAAGATCAAGCACCATTGGTCGTATTTGATGATATCATTTTCATGATTTTAATTCAAATAAAATGTGTACGGTATTAAAAAAAGTACAAATTGTAAGTGGGATTGAAAAAAAAACATAGTACATGGCTGCAATAAATAAACTTTTCATTACAAAACTTTCATACCTAGTAAAATCCAATTCTGGCTTAATGAAACAGGCAGAGTCATGAATTAACAGGTTCAACGCCGGATTAAACGTCAGAGCACGAAGTTGGCAGTTCTATTGTTGACTCTGGGATCAACATAACTTTGACTTTACTGTGACCACAGTTGGGACTCATGTGACCTTAAACATTACCACTTGACAGGGGAATAATCACCTTGACTGGTCAAACACGGGAGTAAAATGAGGCTATTGCTCATATCGTGACCGAGTCCATTACTTGGGGTGTTTAATCTTTTCATCATATTATGTTAAGACACATGAGTTAAGCGTTTTTTTTTTGTTTAATTTAGAGTAGTCAGTATGGTTTTAATTGTTTTTTTGTTCACCGTTTAGTGTAATTATGTTTTGTTGTTGTTATGTTGTAGGGATTTGTAACTTAAACTTTTTTTTATGACCTTTAATGTAGACTTTTCCAGCCATAATTGCATCAGCGATAGAGATCACTAGACTTGTGAGGCAAACTCACTTTGGATGATTCAACCCCTCTCCATTTCACTTCATAATTCCATATATCCTTACTTTATCTGAGGAACGAGCTGGTCTAGTGATACAGCGTGGGGCTTTGGAAGCGGGTTCAAACCTTTCCAACCACCACTGGATGTTATCCGTGTGATAATGCCACAACTTTCTTGGACTAGCCTATGTGTTAAACAGTTCTGGGCTAGAACCTAGTCCTAGAACCTCGCTGGGCCAAAATTAGAAAGTGAGACATAAAAAACGTCACTTTTTCATGCAAACTGATTTATGGTCCAGGTAAAGCCACCAAGGAAATCAGTTGTATGATTAATTATTTGCTCCTTATAACCAACCATTCATACGTGGCGGATGGTATATTACTCCCAATTGTATTTATACTTCAGTAATTTAACCCACCTACTCCAGATTGAGTATGTTGTATTTATTGTTGTTGAGACTACAAATTGAGCAAATTCACTGATATTGGGACTGATTATTCCACATATACTGTAACATTTATACAGGGTGCAGAAGACACCATAGGGGAGGACATAGTAAATAATTATAAATGCTCACAATATGTGTTCTCTCTAGAGAGTACTATTTGAGATATGTTTGCAAATGTTTTAAAATTTACATGATATGAGAAAAATTCGATTTTGATTTGCTTGGATTTGTCCTTGATTGGATAAGGTAATTCAAAATGTATTTTAACTCTACTGAAATGTAAATCAAGTTAGGTAGGTTTAATCCAGATGTCATTAAGTTGCTTTCTGATTAATAATTTATTTTTACTTCAAAACTGTGTTTTCTTCTGATCCAAAGGTACATTTTAGGCTTTATATAATTTATGCTGTCATGATAATTGTATAAACAATAGGGTGCATTGATGCAAATCCTTAACGTATATGACCTTCTTCCTGTAGGAACAAATATGGATTAACATCTTAATAATCACTAAATATCTTTTTGGTTCACAAAAGTGACGGAAACTCAATAGTTCGGAACCATAAATTAGCTTTACCATTTAGAGTCTGTGTTGAAATTGTTTTTAATACAGAATTACATTTTTTACATTAATTACATCCAAATATTATTTACAAAAAAAAAACTAAGTATATTGTTGTACAACTAACAACTTTACAAACAAAAAGTTTCACAATATGAATAATAAAACATCTACAAATATCTTAACTATGTTAAACAGTTTCGTTACATAGAACAATTACTAAACGATGTACCTTTGGTATCATTAAATAAGAGAAGTCAACATTTAATCTCAACTTGGGCTCTAAAACCGACAACAACCCTTATTTAGAGTAAGTTTGGCGCCAAACCTCAACGCCTGTACAGCAGCCGCAGTGTGGTGGACAGCTGTTTGCAATCACTGGCTCAACATCCCTTATAGAGGGGTGTAAATCCTTTGCCATCCAGCTGATCGTAAAGGTTAATGAACCGCATGTTAAATACTGCCACATGAGCGCTCTTTATGAGGCGGCGTTGTTGTAGGTTTAGAGAATAAAATTATTTTAAATCTTCTAAGTGATTTTTTTAGTTTTGGTTGTTGTACGTGGTTTAGAAACCTAAACACCAGTGCAACCAATATTGAAGCTGGTACTAATGTAGAGAGTAAGGCTTCGGTTCTCAAAAGTCACGGGTCCAAATCTTATCAATCACCAATTGATTTTAGCGATGTATTAAAACCTGAAGTTGTGAGTAAATTGTTTCTGGAATAAAATTGAATGTCCTAGAACACGTAAAAAGGTACATTTGGTAAATATTGTTAGAAATCAATAGTTGTGCAAAATATTACTTTTAATTCGCCTATTGGGTCTGATGATGATTGGAGTGACCAATCGAAATCGATCACCACTTACCATCTTTTTTGTATATTTACCGTCTTGTGAGTAACAGTATAAGGGTAAATATATGTTTAAGTGTTATAAGACGTTTCTTGTATTTACACTCCGCAAAATATTAAACATAGTTAAAGTATAGCCTTTGATGACACATTCGTTTTTGAGGGCATATTAATTTAAAATTTAATATACGTTTTACTTTGTAACAATTTGATTACCTCACTGTTTGGTTCTGTACTAAGAATTATGTCCTAGACCCTGAATAATGTACATGCGAAACTGTACTAAAGAGTACCCAAATATAGTTAAATTCAATATTTGGACAAAATATCATTCGTAGTTAAACAAACAGCTGTCATACGTAACGCATTACTGTATTGAGTGCAGCCTATAATTTAACACAATGTAGGTTCCCTATTCACATTGTAATTGGTCAGAACACTACAAAACTAGATAAATAATAGGTCAACACAATTAAAAGTTATACCTTCCAAAACAAAAATAACATTTGTAATTTTACTTTGCTTAGTTTGATTAACGTATTGTTAAACTGTTTCCAGGCTTATAACTATGTTTTTGTAGAGAACGTGCAAAAGTTGAGTTCAGAGTGAAAGGAAAACCCTGCAAAAATTGCTGATTCACGTTTCTTCTCCCGGTAAGATCTAGTGGGAAAGTAAATCTTATCGTTCGCGAACAAAAACATCTCATATTAAAGTTTTCGTATCTTTATTTCTTGTTGGAGAAAACATATAATTTTGCAAAAAATTGGGGGAAAATAAATCTTATAATCGTTGTGTCTTATCTTATTTTTGTTAGACGTTTAATGTACGAAGTATTTATGTTTAAACGCGACGTTTAAAGAAAATGTATTTACACGTTTTGTAATTTATTGTGTAAATTTTGCCGATATACCAGCACCATGTAAAAATATACATCATTAACAAAACATACATAAACATAGGAAACAACAATCGTATTAGTATGAAAGGAGGTGTTGAACAATAAAACATTAAATTACACAGCTACTTAACTAATTTGTAAGAAATTAATTTCAAACAATTTTGTTTAAATACTGTATATTCAACAGCCTAAAATTTTGATTAGGTATAAATTGTCAAGCTATTTTTCGTGTAAATCCTAATGTAATATGAATAAAAATTTCAAATATCGTTTTAGTGTTATGTATAGAAATCCCTTATACTCTATTTTTATCATTTACTTTTTCTAAATTCAATACACCCGTACAGATCTCAAGTCATTTTCACTTTTATTTATCGCTCCCTTTTCATTTTATTCATTCTTAGTTGATTTTTGTGATAAGACCAGAACAAAACTAACGTTTGATTACAACAAAAATGAGGGTTGCAAAATAAACAAAAATTATTTATTGAAATATTTTGCAAAGTAGGCCTATCTTTAATTTACTTGATAAAATATCTTGGATAAGTGTGACGATTAGTTTTGATGTTAGGACACCAAAGTTAAATTATGTGTACTGTGAATTTTATTGGATATTATCGTTTTATTTTAGGTCGTTTCTATTCAGACCTACTGGAAATTGTTTGTAGTAGTTGTATTGTGGTGATAATAATTAGGGAAGAGTCAGGTATGCTATGGAAGGTGGTATCGTTGACTAGGTCTATACACTTCTCAATTGACTATTACTCTCTCTACTGTAGGCTACTTATAATCAGTGCGGGTCTGTGTGAATCGGCTGCAAATCTCACTTCAACGCTTTTCACATCGTAAAAATTGCAGAATTGCTGTTCTATTGTAAAATTATCGGATTTAAAATGCATATCGTATAGGCCTATGATGGAATAAAAACATATTTGGTCACACAACATTTG